GAGGTTTGATGACGGGCTTCACACTCTTGTAGAAGTTATACTAAACGCTGTAATCGCTATCCTACTCCACTGCCCTTCTACATTCGCTAGGTTGTCTAACTCTGTGCCCTGCACTCTATCTCATGCTAGGGGAATATTTAACATGGAAAAGTTCCCTCATAATAAACTAACTAATATCGACATTATCTGAAGCAGAGGGTTTAGTGTAAGTGAACATTTGGCTCAGAAAGTATTGAGGATCTATTAAGGCGCTATGTCAGCAGTAATCAGATAGGGCAAGTCCCAATCATCATCGCCAATGTTATTCACATGTTCTGTATCATATATTCCACCCTATTCTGCCAATGGCGAGTTATTGTACTCTGATTAAAGTTGTTTCCATCCCAACACTCTTGATACATAACATGTGTCATGCTGTCCTGTGCACAGTGCAAAGGGAGAAAATCAGGTGGCGTTAAGCAACGCGGGTCACGGAGAGTCCTTGGATTGGTGACCGTGTGCGTCAATTAGCTCGGGAGAGTTTCTAGGGCTTCGGTCATGCCCCACACTGAAGCACATGTAACATGTGGTGTCTCCTTGGGCAAGTGACTTTATTAAAAATGTGCCTTGTTCACCCAGCAGTGAATGGGTACCTGGTAGCATGAGATGGCAATGTGGCTGTTTACCTTCTAGCGCCCCATAGGCAACTTAAGTTGTATACCCCCAGGAAGCTGAGAATGAGTATTGAGTGCACACTGATCCACTGTCTGGGGTAATAAGTGCACTTTGAACAACACACACTTATGGAAATAAATATATCCTGATAAAACATCTGCCAATGTCAGAAGACCAAAGTTACTGTATTCTTAACAGGACTATGCAGTGAGTGAGTGAGTGAGTGAGTGAGTGAGTGAGTGAGTGAGTGAGTGAGTGAGTGAGTGAGTGAGTGAGTGAGTGAGTGAGTGAGTGAGTGAGTGAGTGAGTGAGTGAGTGAGGTTATACGCCGCTTTTAGTAATATTCCAGCAATATCAAGGCGGTGGACACCAGAAATGGGCTTCACACATTGTACCCATGTGGGGAATTGAACCCAGGCCTTCGTCGTGATGAGTGAATGGTTTAACCACTAGGCTACCCCACCGCCCCTATGTCATGGAGAGGGAAATATTCCAGCCTATATTCTCGGGGAACTGAAACCATTTACCACTAAATAACCCTGAGCCCTACTTCAATATGCATGATCAAGTATGCTTCCTCAAGGATGTTGGTGTACTGCTTACAATTCCATTAGAATGGACATTCCACTGAACTGTATGGCCCACACAAGTTGTGTTTGAAGGCTGTGAACAGGTGGCTCAGAAAGTATTGAGGATCTATTAAGGCGCCATGTCAGCAGTGATCAGATAGGGCAAGTCCCAATCATCATCGCCATTGTCACACAGTTCAGTAATGATTTTACAGTCCATTGTCCTAAAAACACACAATTCATTTCTTATCAATAGTTGCAGCCACCATTTGCGAGACAGTATCAGTAAATTGAAAGAGATGGATTTCCAGGGCCAGAATACAATGATGACCCTCTTCACACCATCTTAGACATATTTTAGATTAATGGAGAGCGATTCCCAACTATTAACCCAGCTTCTGGTGTAATGGGTTATGATCGTCTCATGGAGTCACCCAGGTCACAAACAGCTTCAGATTCTAAAATATATGAGAATGACGGAAAACAGTCAAGATCTATCCTTGTCCTTCAGACAAGTTCTAAATCAGGTTGTTTTATTATAAGTTGATGTTATTGTGATATTCATCCATTAGTAAACTAATGATTATCAATATTTACAGTTAGTGAGTTTTATTGTGTGAACATTTGGCTCAGAAGGTATTGAGGATCTATTAAGGCGCTATGTCAGCAGTAGTCAGATAGGGCAAGTCCCAATCATCATCGCCAATGTTCCACACAATGATTATTCACCAATGACTTCAAGTTATTCAAACACTAACAAATTCTACGACATTTTTTGAAAATTACTACTTTCTGAGGCATCAAACCTCTGATTGAAACAAATGATTTGATGGCCATAACACCTCGGAAACTAATATTTATGGAAATATACTTCGAGTCATTATCAGAAGGAACTTTAAAGCAATTCTTGGTACATTATCGGGACATAATTACACTACACATGATCCTAACAACAAACACCCCATCAGAAATTTGGTAAAAGAGGCTCTAGTTTGAAAATCTTTCAAGTAGTAGAACGTACTTACTCTATGCGACAGCTTGTTCGTGTCTCTAACCTGTAACGCTTGGCTCAGAAAGTATTGAGGATCTATTAAGGCGCTATGTCAGCAGTGATCAGATAGGGCAAGTCCCAATCATCATTGCCATTGTTACCATGGTTACAGACACTTGTGGACTTTTATTCACACTGCCTCAAAGTTCTCTTATGATGTCCACATGGCTGGGACAAGGTATAAACTGCTGGACCATATGTCACATTCCATGTCATGTCAGAGGCTTTTAACAACCAACCAACCCAACATGTAGTGTAATAATATCATGGTTTTGACAAAAGTAGTAAACATTAACAAGACTTAAAGCTTCTTCGATTCTTCTGTTGTGGCCATCAATCCATATACACTGTGTATCCAGCATATATACACTGTGTATCCAGCATATATACACTGTGCATCAAGCAAATATACACTGTATCCAGCATATACACACTGGGTATCCAGCATATATACACTGTGTACCCAGCATATACACACTGTGCATCCAGCATATATACACTGGGTATCCAGCATATATACACTGTGCATCAAGCATATACACACTGTATCCAGCATATATACACTGTGCATCAAGCATATATACACTGTATCCAGCATATATACACTGTGCATCAAGCATATACACACTGTATCCAGCATATATACACTGTGCATCAAGCATATATACACTGTGCATCAAGCATATATACACTGTGCATCAAGCATATACACACTGTATCCAGCATATATACACTGTGCATCAAGCATATACACACTGTGCATCAAGCATATACACTGTATCCAGCATATATACACTGTGCATCAAGCATATATACACTGTGCATCAAGCATATACACACTGTATCCAGCATATATACACTGTGCATCAAGCATATATACACTGTGCATCAAGCATATATACACACTGTATCCAGCATATATACACTGTGCATCAAGCATATATACACTGTGCATCAAGCATATATACACTGTGCATCAAGCATATATACACACTGTATCCAGCATATATACACTGTGCATCAAGCATATATACACTGTGCATCAAGCATATATACACACTGTATCCAGCATATATACACTGTGCATCAAGCATATATACACTGTGCATCAAGCATATATACACACTGTATCCAGCATATATACACTGTGCATCAAGCATATATACACTGTGCATCAAGCATATATACACTGTGCATCAAGCATATATACACACTGTATCCAGCATATATACACACTGTATCCAGCATATATGCACTGGGTATCCAGGGAGGACAAATAGTAAACTGCCACCAGTTTGGAACTTATGTCCCATGAAGTAGATTTGGGGAGAACATGGTCCTTTAAGGTTGTCACTAGTCTCAAGTCTTACTATGTCGTACACACAGTCATGACAGTATTCCACACTATGAAGAAGATTAACACATATACAGCCAATATCTGATTACAACACTGGCAACAAGGCAGAATTACGATTCACTGAAGATTCAGCTACATTTCACAGGATTGTTACATCTCAGCATTCCAACAACAAGCAAGATTAAGTATGGTATCCGATGTAGTTCAGCACCCTGCTTCAGCAAGTTTAGAGGTGTGTTGCTTACAATTTCATCAGAAGAAACATTCCACTGAACTGTATTGCCAACTAAGTCAAGTGCGTGATTGTAGGCTGTGAACATTTGGCTCAGAAAGTATTGAGGATCTATTAAGGCACCTTGTCAGCAGTAGTCAGATAGGGCAAGTCCCAATCATCATCGCCAATGTTCCACACAATGATTATTCCACAATGACTTCAAGTTATTGAAACACTAACAAATTCTACGACATATTTGAAAATGACTAACTTCTGAGGTATCAAATCAAGATAACCACCTCTGATTGAAACAAAGGATCTGATGGCCATAACACCTCAGAAACCTATATTAGAACAGCACTTAGAACTATAAACATCTAATCATGCTAATACAGACAAGTGACTTACCTACATAATGATAAAAGGTATAGTTGTGAAAACAACCTGGTGAGGTGGGCCAAGGGTTATTGTTCATACAACTGTTCCTGTCTGTCATTCACTGTCTTAGAGCATGGCCAAATACTTGATGTACATAGTGAAGAGTGTTGCATAAACATCACATTCCACTCCAGGCCTACGAACCAATGACCCAGGTGTCTTTGTAAATCTGGATGTACATCCAGCTTGAGTGGCATCTTTGTATAGAGTACATAATCAGGAAATAATTGTACCCCATATGTACTACACGACAAACACCCCATCAGAAATTTGGTAAAAGAGGCTCTAGTTTGAATATCTTTCAAGCAGTAGTAAGTACTTACTTTATGCGGCAGCTTGTTCGTGTCTCTAACCTGTAACGCTTGGCTCAGAAAGTATTGAGGATCTATTAAGGCGCTATGTCAGCAGTGATCAGATAGGGCAAGTCCCAATCATCATTGCCAATGTTACCATGGTTACAGACACTTGTGGACTTTTATTCACATTGCCTCATTGCTATTCAAGTTATACTGGGTATCCAGCATATATACACTTTGTTTCAAGCATATATACACACAGTTTATAGCATATACACACTGCGTATCCAGCATGTATACACTTGGTATCCAGCACATTCCTACGACAAACAGTCGTACTAGTGAAAAACGTCTTGATCCAACATCTGTACTTTTTAAAAGATTCTTTTTGAATAAATAGCAGAAAGTTCACAGCACTGACCTCCTTCGATGACAGCAGTGATCTGTTTGATATTGTTGTGCTTCCTGAGATGACTGCGAGGGCAGCAGACAGTGCATTGATGGCACCACGACTGGCAATTAGAGATTCTGCCGACTCTTTGAAATGCTCCAGAGTTTCATTTGGTACATCATCAAGTGACCTGGAGGAGATCAGATTCATTTGTCAAATAACACTCCATACAACAACATCCATAGTAGCTTTTAGCACAGAACTCCACAAGACAACTGTTTAATTTAAGAAATCTTTTTTACTTCTGGTTAGTGAGTTTGACTGCTTTGAACGGTACTCAACAGTATCACGACTTGTCAGCTTGATGTGGGAGGAAAGCCCAAAGTGATGTCTCCGACAATTACCACTTTGGTGAAACCAACGACCATGAGTGTGGCTCTGTTTGTTTGTTGTTTAACGCCGTAATCAGCAATATGCCAGCTATATGACTTTGGTCAGTAAATAATCCAGTAAATGGACCAGACAATCCAGTGATTGACATCCTGAGCATCCACCCACACAACTGGGATACAATGACATGTATCAACCAAGTCAGCGAGTCTGACCACCCGATCCCATAAGTCGCCTTTTACGACACACATTGATTTCTGAAGACCTATTCTACCCCGGATCTTCATGGGTGAGTATGGTTCTGACAAACCTTGAAACAAAATGGGGGCCAACCGGGACTTAAACCCATGACCAAAGGTGCTGGACGCAACTCTGCACAGTAAATTGCAGCACCTAAAACAACTGGGCCACCACTGCTCCTAGTTCTTAACTTCCAAGCAAGCGAAAATCTACAGTAGCAGCAGCAACGTCTAACAGCAGTGTCATGCTAGAGAACGGAACTACAGAGAGGAGTGTCTTGGTAGAATCAACTGACCTGACAGCATCGTTGGCCCCAGCCTTGATCATCTCCTCAGGGGAAGGTGGACCAATCCTCTTGAACTGTACACCCTGAATGAACAAACAGACGTAGTCATTGCAAGATATATTGCTGCAAACAAATACCAACAGATTTATAGTGCATAGTATTTGAACAAGTGTGAAATGTAGAGTAAGTGAGTGAGTGAGTTGGGTTGGGTTTAACACCACTTTGACAGTATTCCAGTTATATCACGGCGTGTCAGCTTAATGTAGGAGGAAAGCCAAGAGTGATGCAGGTCACAGACGTTTACCACTTCGGTGAAACTAACGAGCACTAGTATGGTGCCGACAAACCTAGAAACATAAACGGGGCGAACCGGGATTCGAACCCACAATTCTGGCGTGCCCAAGAGACGCAACTCTGCACAGCGAATCACAGCGCCTTAGATGACTGGGCCAGCCATGCCCGAGAAATGTAGAGAATGTATGATCGTTATTCCATGCGTGTTATCAGAGGTACTCACTGCTTGTTTCTCCACCCACATGAGGCTGTTCTCCTCCTGGGGTTTATAGAAGCAGACACAGGCACCAGATCTCCCAGCTCTTCCTGTCCGACCTGAACGGTGGATGTAGGAATCTGTGTCCTGGAATGGCAAAATATTCAAACTTAACTGTTCAAAATCAATTCTATGTAAATTGTTGAATCATATGCAACGAGAGGGTGGAGTCTCGCTGCACAAGCTTAGCAGTAGCAACAAGTAAGATACGTCCTTGAATACAACAATGCTCTTGTATTTTCTTTAGAAAAAGGAGACAACAATAAAACCTTATGTCAACAGTGTTGTTGACCATCACTATATCATTATTACCAAGACAAATACTATATGCCAGTGTCAGGAATTTTTAAACACGTAAAAACTGATCATTGGTTTGAAAAAATCCTTTGCTGATTGACAAATTGTTAAATTCTTTCTCATTTTCGTTCATGTAAATAACAGTAAACCAAGAAACAATAATTCACCAAAATGTTGTAATTTGAAAATAAATGATCACTGACTTTCTTGGTTCGGAAACTGAAACCAATTAATTTTTGATGACATTATTCACTTGGGACATTACAATATGCCCATCATATTTCAACACAGGAACTGGACACAGTAGAGGGGAGGTAACTCCACACTATTTGTAAAGATACAGGAAATGGGTTAATACAAATACGACAGTTCAAACCTCACCTTTGGGGGGCTGCACTGAATGACGAGATCGACGAGGGGAATGTCCAGACCCCGAGCTGCGACATTCGTGGTGATGAGACACTTGTACTTTCCGTCCTTAAAACCCTGCACATAAAAGAAAAAGGTTTCAGATAAAATTTTGTACAAACGTTAGGCTGAAAAAAATAATAGTCTTGGGTCTCAATCACCGCCTGCATCATCATAAAGTCTGCCGCACATTGTGGGTTTTTTTCATTTTTATTTTAAAATAAAAATCCTAATTCTTAAAAACAATGTGATCCAATATAGCACGCAGTTACTTCCCTTTACATGTACACTGCTTTACTGTGCTTCCCATGTTATGGTCATGGTGGCAATAGGAGTTTGTATGCTTGTATGTAGGGAGGCCCTTTCCCAGGTTGCTTGTACACAACTGTTTAGTTGGTTACATACTAGTTTGAACAAGCAAACAAAAGAGGAAGAACTGCCCGCCCGCCCGCCTGCTCACCCTGTATTTTATTGTCTGAGAACCAACACTTATTTCTTAAGCCTTATGTAAATGAACAAACAAAGTCTGAAAAAACTGTAAGCATGAAAAAAGATACAACTCTCAGGGATGTAGGTAAGATAAGTAACACGTACAGCCAACACCAACTCGCGCTTCTCCTGTGGAATGTCTCCGTGAAGGACGTGGCAGTCCACCTTGATGCTGGGACTACACGCCAGCTCATCTGCATCCTTCTTGGTCTCACAGAACACCATGGCGCGGCCGTGGTTGCCGCTGTACACCTGGATGATGTCCCCGATAGTCCCCGCCCTGTCATGGTACGAACACTTGATGGCCATGTGCTGGAAACAATCATATGCACCAGTGAGTGAGTGAGTGAGTGAGTGAGTGAGTTGGGTTTAACGCTGCTTTGAACTGGATTCCAGTTGTATCATGGTGTGTCAGATTAATGTGGGAGGAAAGCCTGAAGTGATGCAGGTCTCAGTTGGTGAAAACCATGAGCATGGGTATGGTACTGACAAACCTACGAAAATAATCGTGGTGAACTGAGATTCGAACCCATGACCATGGTTTTCTGGCAAGCCCAAGGGACGCACAGAAATCTAGACTGCACAGTTCATTGCAGCAAGTTAGACTGGGCCACCCATGACCCCCTACATAAGATATTTTGTTTGTTAGTAAACGCAGCACTCAGCAATATTACAGCTATATGACCACAATGTGTAAATAATCAAGTCTGGACCAGACAATCTAGTGATTGAGATCATGAGCATTGACCCACGCAATTTGGATACAGCGAGCCTGGCCACCCGATCCTGTTAGTCGACAAGCATAGCCGCCTCTTACGACAAGCATGGATTGCTGAAGACCTATTCAAAACCAGATCTTCACGGGTCTGTGAGAGAGCAGGACATACACAAGGTGTGGGGATACAAACTGAAATAACCTCAATCCAGGCTCCCTGTAAGGGCTGGGACGATACACAACTGTGAGATCCAATATGTATCACGATACGCATGTATCATGATACTTGCATGGCTCTTATCTGTGGTCCCTAAGCCATCTTTCTCATAGACAGGATGGCCAAATACCTGATGTACAGTCGGCAGTGTCAAGTAGGGCACAACAGAGGAAAATTTACGTTTTCACTATAAACTTACATTACTACTTAGCGTTTAGTGTAAAAGTTATAAATCATTTAAGGTAAGAATTGTTACTTTTTAGTTAGTGTGCGACTGTGATCGATACTTGTATCGAGAAGTAAAATATCGCAATCCACCGATGCATCAGTGTATCATCCCAGCACTTCTCACAGTACATGATGTCCTGTTGTCACAGAGTGATGGTGAAAACAGTTGTTGACTATTAAATCATGCCAATATGTTTCTGATTCTTTTATTCTTTTTCATCGAACAAAAATAATATTAATAGGTATAACCCGCTCACTGTACATAATGTGGGTTGACCATCCATTGTGCTATGTCCAACAGAAATCAGTCAGGGTGGATGCCTGCATGAAGGGGTGCACACCATGCTTTAGTAAGAGCTATATCCCAGCTGCACACTTCAATAATTATCCACATAAAACCTGCCCAAGTGTTTCATCTAGATAGACACACATAACAGCCAAGAAATTTATCCAATGTATAGCCCATCACAGATTGGTATCCAGCAAATTACCAATCACAGCTGAGTGTGGTGTAGGACAGTTACCATTCACCGCCCGCAAATATTTCTACCACAATGATCCCATACTGGCCTCACCTCCACTGTTGTGGCTGTTTTGTTTGTTTGTTTGCCGATCAGATCTACTTTCTTCACATCGTCCCTCATGTACTTGTTGGCCGTCTGCCTCACCCAGGGCGGCAGGGTGGCCGAGAACAGCAGCGTCTGGGGGTGGCTGCTCTCCTTCTCTGAAAACAACACATTTCATGTCAGGACCACAAACATTTGAACAATGCACTTTATGAAGTGTCTAGATCAAGGGAGATAACTCCCTCTCAGTGAAAACAACTGCAGTGTTCATACCACATTGTCAGTGCTTCAGATCAAAGGGAGGTAACTCTAACAGCAGTGTTGTAGTCATGCTGATCTAAGAATCCTGTAAGAACTGCATAATTATTTCAATAAAACCAACAATGCATAATTTGCCATAGAAACTCATGTAACCATGTGAACTAATTTTTTCAGTAAAAACCACTGTTGGAATACATTATGATAGTGCAACCGTTTAATATAGTTCTGTTTGTCTTTATCCTCGTCAGCAATATTTCAGCTGCCACTGACACCCTCAATTAATTGGGACTAATCCAAACCAATGCTCATTATATACAAACAATGTCCCACAGCGTTGCCGAATAATGGCACACAAACATGGCACCAAGTCTGACCACCTATTCCACTTCTGTCTGCTCTTAATACAGCCACAGGCTCCCGAGGCCCAATTCTACCCCAGATTCCAAATAGTTGGTATTTACCTCTATCGTACGCCCCCTTCAGGATCTCCTCCACTGACTCCAAGAAGCCCATGTCGAGCATCTGGTCCACCTCGTCCAGAACCACATGCTTGATCTTGTTCAGCTTCAGGTTCTCCTTCTGTACGTGGTCCAGCACGCGCCCCGGAGTCCCCACCACCACATCCACGCCGTTCCGCATCACACGCTCTGGGGACAACACAACAGTCTTAATGGGAGCTTGAGTATGGTCTTATAGGACACAATACTGTGTCCCAAAGAACTAGAATTATCATAAGATGTTATACACTGTGGTATTGTGTCATGAAGATCGAGAAAAAAGCCAAACAACAATGCTTGAGCATATACAGCACCATCCTTTCGTTTTCTTATTTCAAAACAATATCCCACTCAAAACATTGGACTGAAACCACAACGCATTTGTGTTAAATTTGGTCATGGTGGAATGGAGAAAAATGAGAACTAGGAGACTGTAGATTTAACTGCACTTAATAAAATTTGAAACCTCATTATGCCTTTAATCTCAAATTCAAATAAGCATGGTTAAAACTAGTGGTAACGTAGCTATACATCATGTACATTGAAATAAGAGTATGTATATTTCCTTGGTGTTTTCAAATGTACAGGGTGAATACGAGGAATAATGCTTGGTTATACCAAGCCAAATTTTAACCAACACATTTCATCTGGGTAACCACGGTTACAGAACATCCAATTACATTCGTTCCGCGCCCATTCTTACCCTGAGGGCCATAAGGAGTCCCTCCGTATATTACAAGGACCTCCAGACTTTCTGCAATTGCCTTGAAGTCATCATGAACCTGCTTGGCCAGTTCCCGTGTGGGGGTCAGTACCAGAACCTTGGAGACAGAAACAATTTGTATTGATCTATTAGGTTTGTTTGTTTGTTGTTTCACACTGCTCTCTGCAATATTCCAGCTATATGACAGCAGTCTGTGAATAATCAAGTCTGGACCAGACAATCCAGTGATTGACATCATGACCATCGATTCACGCAATTGGGATACATTAAGATGCATCAACCAAGTCAGCGAGTCTGACCACCTGATCCCATTAGTTGCCTCATATGACAAGCATAGTCGCCTTTACGACAAGCATGGGTTGCTGAAGACCTATTCTACCCTGGATCTTCACAGGTCTGATCCATTAGGAGATAATGGTTTAACGAGTAAGTGTTTCTGCACTGATTTGAGGAAATACATGAACACCAAAAACATTTTACGGCACTATACACCCAACATGTTAACTGTACAACAGGACACTGTTTGTCGCTGACCTCTGCCCTCAGCAATATTCCAGCTACAGGACAGGAAACTGTAAATACTCTTGATCAGACAAGCCAGACATTGATATAATCAGCATTGAGCCACGGTTTCGGTACATTGGCGCACTATCAAACCCATGCATTGAGTCGACTCTTAAGACCAGCACAGCTAGGTCACTGGGGACGCAGTCTTTCAAATTCACCGGTGCTCAAAGTTTGCAGCACTCGTCTGTAGCCACTCCTGCCAGAACCAGACAAATTTTTACTATGTTTACGTTTCTGTCTGGTTTATTCAGTTCCAATTTGATGCTTAACTGAAGCAGTGAGAACTGGTACAGAATCATAGCCCTCAAATGCTAGTAGTTAATGAAGACTACCTTCACATGATTTTGACTTATTCTTGGACCAATTCTCTGGCTAGCACACAAGTGTGAATTTCAAAGGCAGCACCTATTCCATCCCCATGAGGGTAAAGAGGGATGGTGATCCCTGGGTACAACACTCACCTTTGGGCTCCGACCAGGCTTCTGTTTCTTTTCACTTCTCTCCAGCTTCTCCACCAGAGGTAGGGCAAATGATAGCTGGTGAAACAATTGGGATAATCATGATAATGTGGGCTAATTGTTCAAATAAGTACAGTAGTATTTAATAAATATATTCTGCTTCATGAAAAGTTGAATCACCATTTTTATACATGTGTTATCAACATGAAATGCACATTCATAAGTATTGGGGTGACAAATATTCTTGCTGAAATGTAGAATAAATGGCTGAAGACAGGTTTGGGAGCATTTACTGTATTTGTATCAACACTAATTTGTAATTTTGTATATTTGTATATTACTCGTTAATATCTGACAAGTTGAACATGATACTCACAGTCTTTCCTGTGCCGGTCCCTGTAAATAGAAAAATACAAAAAAATTAACCAAAATTAATTACAGTATTCAACGTAATAAGCGCCCAGGGCGCTCTCAAAATTAGAAATAGGGGGGCTCTCATTAGAATATTATTTTGGTGAAAAAACCCAACAGAGTTGAAAGATAAATTTCGTGGTTGATGCCGACAGCCTGAAATGTTTATGTACGACAGATATATTTTCCCAGAAATTAATTGCCCATACGAGTGTGTATTATACGCGAATAAATAAGTCCTGTGTGCATTAATCAATCGGAAGGGGTGCTAATTGGGATTGTTCCCTAGCCAATATATTAGCAAATATCGGCGCGGGCGCTTATCAGAGCGGGGCGCCTATTACGTCGAATATGTTAAATCCAGATAATGGCTATTTTAGTGCTATTTATAACCATGATGGAACTTCATAATGCTTTACTCTCAATATGCTCAAGAAACAATATGAAGGCAGACACCACTGTAGCCTGGGCTAACTGTTAGTGTCTATTGCTGCAATACCAGCACGGCACTGGCCAATCTGCTCCCGAATTCCGACAGGGGTGGGAATGTAGTATAATTAGGAGATAAACATACTGTGTTTTCAATGTAGAGCTAGGTTACCTGTAGATTTAACCACGCTAAATTGAATTTGAAACCGAACGTGCAGGGAAAAAGATATGACGTCACAGTCGTACATAGAGAGGTGCCATATTCCAAGCTCTCTGTTGTCTCCAAAACGTAAATACATTCTTTTTGTAGATTTCTATCATGTTTTCTGCACCAACTGTATTGCCATACATCCTTTGAATATTTTAGTAACCGCAAATGTGCTTTTTGTAACCTATAATTGTACATATCGTTATTGAAATATGCCTACCGACAATGACTGAAAAAAATTCAATGAATATTAGCTTCCGCTGTGATGCGGTCGTCAAACCAGCCATTTCAACTGAAGGGGGTTAACTTTGATTTAATAGCCTCTGACTAACCAATCAGAATCGAGTAATTTCCAAATTCGTGGTAGAATTTCCATCGACAGATTTTGAGATACATGGCTGGAGTGATTGTTTACTCACTGGCTTGTGCTATGACGTCTCCTCCATCAAACACCGTGTCAAACGTTTCATACTGGACTGGGAACAGGTAGCTTATACCCTTGGCTGCAACAAACACAGTCTCATTAGGAGAAACACAAGCTTGAGGTCAAACGGAAACAATTCGCTGAACTTGCACCAACTACATGTATAAAGGCTGGGGTGAGTGATGCGTTGACCAACCTCATTAATACAAGGGTAACGTTATTTTTCAGGGCATTATCATTTGTAGAAGACCTCGGGCTTCTACAAATGATAATGCCCTGAAAAATAGCATTACCGTTATTATAGCTAAAATGGACAAACTGATGGATAGAATTTGTTATCAAATTAAAACAAACAATATCGGTTTTGAAACATTTAGTGCAATTACCCAAATTTCACTGACCTCCTTTTACAAATATGGAAACATCATAGAACAAAACCAGGTGATGTCACTATTGAACGTGACATCACCTTTCCCTATGATGTAACCTAACAACAGGCGTGATAATGGCCGGTCGTCAAGCAATATGAAGGCATTATCAAGCTACAGTGGCCCGTTCATTTCTGATAACATGGGGGCGGTTTTGTGATAATTCAATCCATTTTAGCTATAAATGATAAAAACTGCATTGTTCAGATTATTAGAATGTTTGTTGTTCAAAGCCATAAAGAAGTAACTTCCAGCTACATGGTGGTCTGTAAATAATCAAGTCTGGATGAGACAATCCAGTGATTTACAACATGAGCATCAATCCACGCAATTGAGATCGATGACATACATCAATCAAGTCAGTGAGCCTGACCACCTAGTCCCGTTTGTCGCCTCTTACGGCAAGCATGGGGTGGGTGCTGAAGACCTATTCTAACCGGATCCTAACGGGTGAGATTGTTTGTAAAACCAGGGTTTACCGTTTAGTTTTTCAATAGAACCAGGAGATATTCTGAAGTTAGTGAATGCCCCCAACTTGATGTCCGGGTCTTCATCCTTGTCCGCCTCTGGCTCTGTCTGGCCGTTAGATTTCTTGGCCTTCTATAATACACAATCATGCTGTAAATACAAGTTCCAAAATATTACTATTCATTGAATTCAGTTTATATAAAAGGTGTAACTTTTTCATTATTGTCATTATTCTTTAGGTGGCCACACATAATATTTACACAAAAATGAACAGCATATCTCAACAGCGATCAATGTTAGTCACTGATGGTTGTGGACATGCAACATTTCAACCCGAAAAAGCACACAAAGTACTAAACACGAGAGTTATTTCTAGAGCTTGTTTACCTTATCCTTTTTCTTCTTGATCTTCGTGGGGGTTGTATCTGCACCTGAGGATAAACAGTTTCTTTTGTAAAAATGTTCCACTACCAGGAATTTACGGTCAATTAAAGACTACAATATTCAATTTTATTACATTTCTCTGATTTTGTTTTTTTTATGTTTAGCGCTGCACTCAGCAATATTACAGCCATATGATGGTGGTCTGTAAGTAATCGAGTCTGGACCAGACAAACCAGTGATTGACAACATGAGCATCGATCCATGCAATTGGGATTGATGACATGCATCAACCAAGTCAGCGAACCTGACCACCCGATCTCGTTAGTTGCCTCTTAAGACCAGCATGGGTTGCTGAAGACCTATTCTACCCCGGATCTTCACGGGCCTCATTTCTCTGAGAATCACATCAAACTACAGACTCCTTTCATTACGTCCTACCAAATGGTGAAATCAAAACACTGCATCGCGCGTAACTCATTTCTTGAGTTGAGGCTCATGGTGTTTTCACGTTCTCTTACCATTCACATTCTCCGGGGAGTCCACCTCCATGCTACTGGCATCTCCATTCTCAGCCTGCTCTTCAGTGTTATTGTCAGATTTCTTTGACTTCTGACATGAAATGAAAGAGAAATCATGACACTGTCGTTGCATCCACATGACTAAGCAGGAATAGTGAGTGAGTATGGTTTTACGCCGCTTTTACAATATTCCAGCAATATCACGTTGGGGGACACCAGAAATTGGCTTCACACATTGTACCCATGTGGGGAATCGAACCCGGGTCTTTGGTGTGATGAGCGAACGCTTTAACCAGTAGGCTACCCCATCGCCCAACTAAGCCAGAATAACATTGCTGTTGTGGGTCTGATTAATTATTGTTTTGTTTCAAAATACGGTTGGGAATTTATCTAGATCTGCTTAGACATTGTTATCCAGCCTTAAGCTGGAGCTAATGACAGTAAAAATTTACAATTTGAATCATTAATTTCTCAGAATTTCAGAAAATAAGGAACTTTTGAACAGTTTCAAGATCTTTCCCAAATTGCCCATCAAGGGCACTTAGTTTGGAATCCAAAGGGAGGAAGGTTTTTTACTTTTTAAAAAGTGTCTGCACCTGTACTTGAGAACTACTGAAACGTTAATAGCAGTGTCTGGTATATATTTACCAAGTACTCCTGCAGCTGACTTACTCAGTATTGATTTGAAAGGGCTAATGGCAACAGCTTTCAATCTTACAGGATGTGCATACCACATCACTATGGTCAGACGAGTAGGTCTGTCACCGAGAGTGACTTAATTACCCTGGTATTGCACTGAAATCTAGGGACCCCGAAAGTATCTGAACGTATCTTTAGGGACATGGTCTGATCATAGATGGGTGGCTGCGCCAATGTTTCCTTGTAAATATTTTTGTGTAGCAGAGTACAATAAATTATCAACAAAGATTTAATAGTTTATTTAACGAAATCAACATCATGGAGACAGAGAAAGAACGATCTGAATTTACAATTTGTGCTCAATCATTATTCAATCATTAATGTTAATTGCTTTTTCTAATCAATGATCGACCTTCAAAATATAAGTTTAACCCATTCCCAGCACTGCTTCTAAGTAATCTAACCAAGCAATGCACAGATTTTATCATAGTTTACGGTCAACATTGTCTCGGATAGGTGCCATGATTGCTTGTCGTCTACTAAAGGTTTAGAGGGAGATAACTCTGATTGGTGTTCTTTAATTTCTACAATTTGATGTTGTAGCTAATGAGTGAGTCAGGTTTAATACTACTTTTAACAGTATTCTAGTTATGTCAGCTTAATGTGGAAGGAAAGCCTGAAGTGATGTAGATCTCAGATGTTTACCACTTCAATGTCACCTACGACCATGGGTATGGTGCTGACAAATAAAGACACATAATCCGGGCGACCCCACGATCATAGGTTTCTGGCGTGCCCAAGGGATGCAACTCTGCAAAGTGAATCGCGGTGCCTTAGACGACCGGGTCCTTGTAGCTAATGAGTCGCATGAGGCCATATTTACCACAAAGCATGAATACATTCAGCTGAACATGCTCACCACAAGGTTACCACAAATGACTGGTATCAACCATCAGTGCTGTAAAGATTCATTCGTGTATTTGGTAATTCATACCATATCCCTTCATGAATTGAATTGGTTATTCGTGGACACAAGAACCAAATATTTACCAAAAAATAAAATGAGTTTTTTAACTAAAAATATTCATAAGAACTAATAATATGCATGCGTAGATTTCTTAAAAGACAGCACTCTTATATATTTAATTTGACAGTAATGTGGTGACTGGTCAGTGGCCATTGTCACATTTTAGCAGATTCAAGTACCTGTTTAAGTTTTGTTTGTTAGGTGCACTCATCAATATTCCAACTATATGACGGCGGTCTGTAAATAATCAAGTCTGGACTAGACAATGCAGTGACTGATATCATGAGCATCAATCCATGCAAGTGGAATATGACGACATGCATCAACCAAGTCAGCGAGCCTGACCACCTGACCCTGTTAGTCGCCTCTTACAACAAGAATAGTCACCTTCTGCGACAAGCATGGGTTGCTGAAGACCTTTTCTACCCCTATAATGCCAAACTACAAAGTTCAAACCACATAATGAACTCATAATGTCTCCACATCTCATTGTCAGTTATATCATGGAAATAAATAATCATGGCATTGATTTGAATGATAATAGTAATATTACCGTTATCAAGAAATTCTAGAGTATTATTGTGGTAAGGGTTCTCAAACCTGCTGTCCAAAAGTTTATCACTACGAAACTGAGATATTTACCATGTTTAGTATACAAATGAACACCACGTAAACACGAGATATGAAATATTGTCACCACGTGGCTGACGGAATTTTACTGAACATAATTTTATGAATGTCGTCAAACTGAGTTAGAAGAATAACTTAACATTCCAAAATGACAAAATAATCGCTAGGTTTTATACAATATCATACAAATGAGGTAAGTAAGTGTAAGACTGATCTCCGAGATAACACCACTGACCATTGACTACAGTCACTGTTTCCAGCATGGTGCGATGCAGACAGCCTTTCTTAGTCTACTGAAGTATTAATGTAGATCCTATGATCAACATACAAAACGTGTCTCATAGACTGTAAATATTCAAACTTACCTTATCCTTTTTTGTTTGATCTTTCTTGGCCATACTGCTTGAAGAATCAGATTCGGGTATGGAAAATTTCATGTCTTTCCGAAAGCTCTACAACTGATCAGTGTCCTACAATGTCCCCACGTGGTCCGTCTGCAATATCCGGTTTATAGATGGCGCTTTCTACTCAAGGGCCATTACTCAACCTTAAAACTCCAAGCAGCGACACGAGGGGAGCAAAAGATGCGTGCACTGCTATGGATCACGATAGGCTATGTTTCTCAAACCAAACAGTTAAAATTCAAACATATGGAATTGACATAATTACAGATAAGAATTGTTCAGCAAGCGTTTTGAAGCAAGTGTACGCTTTGATATTTGTCATTTTTTTTGATACTTTAAAAAAACATATACTATTATGCTATGCATGTGTTACAAATGTTATATTTAGGATAACACTTTATTAGTATAGCATGTGTTGTTTAGACACATAGACACACATATTCGAGGTCAGGGAGCAAAATTTGATTTTCGGCGGCCCACGGTTTACTGAATTTATTTAACACATCCCTCGCATGGTTGAACAATACTAATAATTGTCTCTTCTTGAAGGCATGTGTCCACAGAGTAAAGTTCGTTATGTTTACTTTATGTTATGTTTGTTTGTTGTTTAACGCCGCACTCAGCAATATTACAGCTATATGACGGCGGTTCGGAAATAACCAAGTCTGGTCCAGACAATCCAGTGATCGATATCATGAGCATCGATCTACGCAGTCGGGATACGATGACATGCATAGTCAGCGAGCCTGACCACCCGATTCCGTTAGTCGACTCTTACGACAAGCATATCCGTCTCTTACGGCAAGCATGGGTTGCTTGCCCAAGCTTGATTTTACTGTCTGTCGTGATGTAGTAGGAATACTGCCGCGTAGAACCACATTCAGCCAATCAGTACTGGTATCACTACCATTCATACGTACTACTCAATAGTTGTATAGGCCCGTCAAGATCCGGGTTAGAATAGGTCTTCAGCAACCGATGCTTGCCGTAAAGGGCGAATATGCTGGTCCAGAGACCATATACCGATATATGGTCTCTGGCTTGTCGTAAGAGGCGACTAACGGGGTCGGGTGGTCAGGCTCGAGGACTTGCTTGATGCATGCCATCGATCCCAACTGCGTGGGTCGATGCTCATGATATCAATCACTGGATTGTCTGGTCCAGATTCGATTATTATACAGACCGCCGCCATATAGCTGGAATATTGCAGAGTGCGGCGTTAAACAACAAACCAACCAACCAAGATTCTTTATAGGGATGACGTTTCGCTTGGATTAGTTGTCATGAGTGTGTGGGGGAGTTGGGTTTCACACCGCTTTGAACATTATTCCAGTTATATCACGGCGTGTCAGCTTAATATGGGAGGAAAGCCCGAAATAATGCAGGTCTCAGACGTTTACCACTTTGGTGAATCTACGACCACGGGTGTGGTGATGACAAACCTAGAAACATATTCGAAGCGAACCGGGATTCGAACCCACAATCATAGGTTTCTGGCGTGCCCAAAGGACGGAACTCTGCACAGCGATTTGCGGCGTCTTAGACGGCTGGACCAACGATGCTCCCAGTTGTCATGAGAAAAGTATTTGTTATTGCCATTGAACTGACCCCTTTTTCAGTTTTATTCAAAGTTAAATACACTCTTCAAAAAAAGAAACGCACAGATAGTATGTAGTATATTGAACCTGACTACACAAAAAATAAATCCGGTATATAAATTGGATATATGTTATTGGAAAATGTTGATGGCCTGATATTAGACAAACGGTGCGTCAAAACGCAGCCATTGTCGATTTGCAATGTCTTAAACGGCATTGTTTTCACACTTGTTAAAAAATGTCACGGAGGAAAACAGTAAAGCAAAATGCACGTGCAAGTTATGGCCTTCGTTACTCGTGGTAGTGGCTATACAAGGCAAGCATGAGCAAATAATTTGTGATAAAATTGTCAACATTTTTCAAGTTCGAAAATGCCGGCTTGATATGTGCAAGCGATGCTGTGAAGCCGCACTCAGCCGCACTCAGCAATATTCCAGCGTTATGAAAATAATCGAGCCTGGACCAGACAATCTAGTGATTGACATCATGAGCATCGATCCACCAAATTGGGATTCGACGATTTTCCTATCAACAAAGTCACCGATGCACAGTTTGCTGCACGCATGGCGTGTGTGTGTGTGTGTGTGTGTGTGTGTGTGTGTGTGTGCGCGTGTACTAGTCCGGACTGATGCCGATTTATTGTGAGATACCACGCCGCAGCGTAACATGAATACACCACTCAGACATAGTATACTGATTTCCGAGCCGACCAGTCCTTGTTTTAGCCCCTTAATGCCGAGCGTCAGACAGGGCAACAAGCAGTACCATCTTTTGACATCTTTTGGTATGACGTGGCCGGGGATCGAACCTCGGACCTTCCGCTCTCCGGGCATGAAAAAATATTACCTGGTGAATGAGCGAGTCAAGACGGCATTACACCATCTTTTCTGAACACATATGCGGAGAATCAAACAAGCGACCTGATGAGCGAATGATTAATATACTACTCAAAAGAAGTGAAAGAACACCTGATTCTTTCATATGACTATAGTGAATCTGTCATAGTATTAACCGACTTTTCATATGGCTATAGTTTATGTCATGGCATGATAGATTAGCTGTAGCCACAAGGAAGAATCGGGAGTTCTTTTACTTCTTTTGAGTAGTATATGAAACTTAAAGCGGGACTCCACGGTGTGGTTCCAGTTTCCGTTGTTATTAGTGTCCAGTGTCAATTTGAGACATGTACCGTCTATAATTAGAATAGTGAACTTCCAGATTGACCTACTTCATACAATTTGAGTTAGCAGGTTACAGTGGTTTTAAGGATGTGAGTGACACTTGCTATAGGACTGCTAGACTGGGCATAGTCCTCCGCTATTTCATGGTCACTGATTGTCAATCAGATGAACTCTGTCCCAAGAACAGCCGTTTTCCTGACACAGCTCCACTTTGTACACCTGTTGTGACACTAAAGTGTTCACATTCAGTTTGACCGCCTCCGTGGTCTAGTGGTAGAGCGTCCGCCTGGAGAGCGGAAGGTCCGGGGTTCGATTCCCGGCCACGTCATACTAAAAGACGATTAAAAATGGTACTTGTTCTTACCCCGTCTGGCACTCGGCATTAAGGGGCTAAAACAAGGACTGGTCGGCCTGGTTTACTGTCTGAGTGGAGAAGGCATGTTAAACTGCGGCATGGTATCTCAGTGAGCTAGCACTATAAATCGGCATCAGTCCGGACTAGTACAAGCAGCGACACACGTGCATGCACGTCGCTATACAAGTGCAATAATCTTGGACGCGACGTTAAACCCCATTTCACCTCACCTCACCTCATATTCAGTTTTGTGATTTTAGAATAAAACTAAGCCTGCTAGGTTTTCAACTGGACGTACGCACAGATACGTGTTTCCAATCCGCAAAGTTCTTATTTTTTGTTGTTGTTTAACGCCGAAACACTTCCATCTCTATGACGACGGCCTGTAATGGACCAGTCAAGCCGCAGACTGATTTGAGCAACGTCCCAAGGGGTCAACCTGGTTCCCTGTATATGCTGCGCTAGTACTACACTGTAGCGCCAGCGCAGCATACACACAGAACCAGGCTACACACGGGGTACGGTGACGGCAATCAGCCAAGTCACCAAAACTTACCATCCTACTTATTCTGTCGCTTCTAACGACAAGCAAAGGTTGATGGGGGACCAATTCCGGCATCCGGGCGGGTCATGAATCACAAAAGACACGTTCTGTATAAATTGTATTGGTCAGCAGAAATAAGACAATACGTTTCGAGAAATGTTTCGTAGTAACACAAATACGGTACATTTTCCTAAAATAACACCAACACAATATCAGCTGGATCTAGGTTATATAATCAGTAGCCTATGAACAACACAACACTCTTCCCTAAACCGAACCTGATCCACCCACGGGTCTCAAACAAGGGTATACATACAAACGCTATACTTTCAAGCTTATTCGGGGGTGGGGGTGGGGGTGGGGGCGAAATGTGATTTGTTACACGAATACTGCACGGTAGCAACCACAAAAACATTTGTTGTGAAATCCCAAGCATATTTCATCATGCAAACATGTACAATAGGACAGTTGTCTCAAGTTCAACCAAAGCTGAAACAATTCTGTTTCACGTGACATTAGTTCAAAGAGCGGGTTAACGTTGTAAGTCACGTCGGCAATATTTCAGCATAACACACACATCAACGTATACGTCAGTGACGTCACATAACGAAACATGGTTATGGTCATAAGGTTAAAAGTTCGTGAAGATGACCGTAGGGTTAATTTGGTGGGGCTGTGGGGTGCCTATCAGATTCCAGGCGAAATATATTCATGGAAACAGATATTTATGCATGATAGGTTACAGCAAGTCCTTTCTAAAGCGCTATTAAAGGAATAGAATTTTTTTTTACCCAGAAGAATAACGCCAAACAACTGAGGTTTGGGACAAGCACTTTTGGACAAGCACTGTACAATGTCACTTAGGAAACTCTCCAGGCTATGTAATACTCCTTGAATTTGTCGAATCCAGACAACACGCCCGCCCCTGCCACGCCCCTCAATATATTAGCACCAGCTCCTTTCATCAGAGACAAAAAGCCTTCATTTTTGAGGATCTGAAGGGTGCAGTCGATGGATCCCTTGTACTTGACGGCTTCCCCTGACGTCATCATCATGCGTCGCCGTATAGTATCGATGGGGTAGGACACTAGACCAGCACTGATGGTCACGACATAGCCGAGCGCGAAGGACGCGGCCAGGCTCGCCTTCTCCCCTAGCAGTATAGGCTTGAGGGTATCGTAGAAGCCGAAGTAGCATCCTCTGTAGACAATGATTCCTACACAAGAGATGACGAAGCCTCGATAAAGACCGACAAAGCCATCTGACTTGATGGTTTTTCTATAAACGTCAATCAAGCCATTGAATTGACGATCCGAAGCCCCCTTCCCAGCAGCTTTAGCGTCGTTGGCCAGACGGGTACGTGCGTAATCCAGGGAATACACGAAGCACAGCGACATAGCTCCAGCACAACCCCCAGACATGACATTCATGCCGAACTTCGTGGTATAGGACGCGTCTTTGCTGGTTTTGAATGTAGCCTTGATCTGGTCTTTAAAGGCGAAGTTGAGCGCCTGTGTTGGGAAGTATCTCAAGCAGTTGGCCAAGTTTCCTCTCCAGAAGGGCCAGAATCCTTCAGTACGGAATGTCCTGAGGGTGCAGTCTATCACACCCTTGTAGGGCTCCTTGAGCCGTCCGGCTTTGATCATCTCATCCTGATTCTGCACCAAGAGTTTGACACGCTCGATCGGGGCGGCTGCTGTCTTGGAGATCACTGCGGCAGCTCCACTCAAGCCGAAGTTCTCGACAAACCCCAACTTCTGAGTCATCTACAACAGAGACGATAATTGAATACATCAAAGGTGGGAGCTGGAATTTTGTAACCAGATATTTTTGTAATTTAAAACTATGAGCCTGAATTCTTTTTAAGAAAAACACTGCAGCAATGTGATTTTTTTGGCAGGCAATTTCTCTTTTTATCAAACAGTTTTAAGCATTATTATTTTTTTCAAGAATTTTCGGGGACAATTTATTTTTTTCGATGAAATCCCAGGCCTGACCAACTGGTCCAACTCTGACGACAATCAGGTTATTAGGGGTAGGGGCCGGTTCAGACTACCCGTAGCCCCTGACATGAGTCTTTGAGTTTAGTTGTCCTTTAACATATACTACTCAAAAGAAGTTAAAAAACACCCGATTCTTTCATGTTCCTAATGTTAATCTATATTAACCTTGATGTCATGTAGCCTATACTGCACGAGTAGTAAAAATACAATTTTCGACAAAACGAGAGGAATTTGTATCGAACTGTTTACATTGGCCAAGATGGAGGGTATCTTTAGTACCATATCGTTAGTACCATATCTTTAGGAGCATATCTCTAGTAGCATATCTTTAGGAGCATATCAAGAGCATGATGAATGTGGAAAGGTAAAAAAAGGTCAATGTCACCTATATCCGTATATGGTTTGGACTATAAATGCACAAGTTTTCTGTTTCTTTTTTAACAATTGACTGAAGTCCCAACTAGCCTGATGTGTTTGTAAAGTGTCATGAAGACACAACATAATGTGTATGAGTTTCGAACCAGAAAGAAACCCTCCCTACATTTATGTTTGCTTGGGAACATGAAAATTGAAACTTTATAAAAAAAACTCGTAAACAAATGGTAAAGGTTCAGCCCTTGACTGATGTGCACACACAATTTCACGTCAAGAAACTTTGAATAGTCATTTGTTTTCATTGAAAACAGAAACGTTGCACAACGGCCAAACCTGTATTTTTCAACATGGCTGCCGTGATGGCAGTAGTGCGGGTGTTTGGCGCTTTACTTGAGTGAAACCTAAGGATACCGGCGTGATGCTGACAAATCAAGAATCATAAATCTGAGATTCAAAATGTAAATCCATTAATTCTGGTATACGCCCAAGGGACTTAGGTGCGCATGACTGACATGCCAAACATGTGCTACACGTGGACACGTGGATCATTATCAAAATTTGATAATGCGATGCTATGCAATGTGTTTTCACATGCATCATTTTTAGAATTTCCTCTGGTAACACCAAAGACAAAACGGTTACACCAAAGACGAGGCGTTAACACCAAAGACAAGGTTGTAACTCCAAAGACGAGGCTGTAACACCAAAGACAAGGTTGTAACTCCAAAGACGAGGCGGTAACACCAAAGACGAGGTGGGACATCATCATTACTCATGACGATGTTCTTTCACGTCACAATAATCGGTGACTGTATACCGGTATATGGTCTCTGCAATAATCTATCAGTAGGAAATGATGCACGAAAGTTGGTGTTGCATATTTGCAATAGCATCAGACTTTTTGTTTCACAATGTTTTCTTTGAAGTTAATACTGCTGACTTATTAACACTGAGGACATATTAAGTAACACCGAAGACAGTGATTATAAAGGGACCTTTAGGGTGTTTTCAAACATTTAAGTGTTAATATGAGTTAAGAGTTAGAATGGCACAAGACATGTTTCCCCCATTAACACTAACACGGAGTTATCACTTGCTGACTTGGGGCAACACCAAGGACATATTAAGTATCACCAAGGACATTTAGCTTAATCTAACCCTAAGTTAGAGTGTTTCAATAATAATACAAATCTTAATGTTAATATGATTAAAGTGTTGTAATTTCAAAGGCACAAGACATGTTTAGCCATTGTCCATTCAAAGTTACTAATTGCTGACTTGTGGTAACACCAAGGGCATATTAAGTAACACCAAGGGCATATTAAGTAACACCAAGGACATATTAAGTAACACCAAGGACATATTAAGTAACACCAAGGGCATATTAAGTAACACCAAGGACATATTACGTTACACCAAGGGCATATTAAGTAACACCAAGGGCAAATTAAGTAACACAAAGGGCATATTAAGTTACACCAGAGCATATCAAGTAACACCAAGGAGATATTAAGTAACACCAAGGACATATTAAGTAACACCAAGGACACCTTAAGTAACACCAAGGGCATATTAAGAAACACCAAGGGCATATTAAGTAACACCAAGGACATATTAAGTAACACCAAGGGCATATTAAGTAACACCAAGGACATATTAAGTAACACCAAGGACATATTAAGTAACACCAAGGACACCTTAAGTAACACTAAGGGCATATCAAGTAACACAAAGGAGATATTAAGTAACACCAAGGACATATTAAGTAACACCAAGGCCATATTAAGTAACACCAAGGACATACTACGTAACACCAAGGGCATATCAAGTAACACCAAGCACATTTTGTCATGATTCAGGTAACACCAAGGACAGTATCACCACAGACATATTTTCATTCAACATGAAATAGAAATACAAATGACTGCTCCCTGTACAGCAGCCGACAACAATGCATTTAATTCTTCTATTATGCATGAAAGGATGTTTTGTTAATGAAATAGTTTTCTTTATAACAAGGTTACACCAAGGACATTGAACTTTCATAAAATGATGCTTGGTGTTACCTTTTTCCAGTTGGAATAACTTTTTCTTCATTTGACTCAGAAAACACTTTTCTCCATGGAAGACAGGAATTGATATAAGGGAGCATTTATTTACCTTCTTGGATAACTCTTACACCTAATTAAACAAATGGCAACACCAAGGACAGGAACATTTTAGACAGACATGCTTTGCTTATTTGGTATTATTTTAAGATAGGAACATAGAGGAAATAAAAATAAAATAACAACAAATAAACTCACGTATATGACCTAAAATCTTAAATATGTTCACTGTAAAAAACCATTCGGTGTCTATTGACAGTGATATTTCAACAATTTCAGACTATATACCACTCCACCACAAAAATAAAGCATTGACGAGGCAAATATTCGATGATATATTTTAATTTGGTTCCCCACTGAAATATTAAGTATGACAGTTAAGGGCTACCTTAAACTTTATGAAAGATAGAGATTACTGACATAAAAAGGGTACATATTTTGATAATGACCCACGTGTTTCTCATGTAGGCTGTGAAAACTCGAGCGAGTATGGTTTTACGCCGCTTTAGCACTATTCGAGCAATATCAGGGAGGGGGACACCAGAAATGTGTGTGAAAACTCGTAACTATCTGATGAATAAAAACGGGTTGGAGAACGGAGGAGAATAATTGTATAGCATTAAAGGGGTACCACAGACTAAACTTGCCAGACCCAGCAGGTTTGATTTAAAACCTAAAGCACCAAGTATTTGTTCTGCTAGCTGATATTTTAAAACATATACTACTTTTGACGGGGATATATGCTACTTTTGACGGGGATATATACTACTTTTGACGGGGATAATCAGAAATGTCATTATATATTTAAATATACACTTGCCATATTATGAGAATATGTTTTGTGAGCCATGGAATGATTCAAATATTCCTCCTAAAATATGTTTAGGTGCAAGTCATATGTCAAATGAAAAAATTTTCCGGAGGGATTCTTTGACCGAAGTACTTGAAGTCAAACGAGCATTGTGGTTTGTTTGTCGTATTTTCGCACATAACATTCATTCATAGGGGGACGAATCTTCTTGCAGGTTACGGAAAGGGGTGAGTGCATGGTGAGAATGGTAGTTAATGATCACCATAGTTACACATAGACAATGTATCTTTCACCCAAACCACTAACTGCAGTGTCTGACACATAGAATGGAAATTAGCACCAGATTGTCGACCACGGTGCCCCTTTTTGGTCTTCTATAGTTTCTCTTTGCAGGGATAAGTATCTCATGAACACATTCCTTGAAAACTCCTGAAAACTAACCCACTTCCGCCAGGATTGTATAGTCTGATTTAGACCACCTGCTAGCACCTAAAACAGTTATATTTATAAAAGCTATGTGTATTAATTGAGGTTTAAGGTCGAATCGGATCAAGCAATGGCGAGTTACATGCAGATGCCCTAGTTGCACATGGAAATCTACTTCCGGTAAAATGCTCTTTCGTAAAAATGTACTCCCAAAACACCACTGGAGACAGTCAGGTCTGCGGTGCCATCATCGACCAAATACCCAAATATGTTAAAAGATACTCGTTGTTACCAGGTCTGTTTTCGTCGTTGTCAATTACCCCCCACCCCACCTACACACACACACGCACGTAGATACACCAAGGCGATCAATTTAACGCGACGTTAAACCCAATTTCAAATCCCCTCACTATACACAACACCACTGCATGAACTCACGCAACTACTGAGCACATATGTAGAGATTTACTAGAGCGGAAACCCGACGATTACTGTCAGGGATACTTGCAAAAAAAACCTACTCCGTAAGAATGAATTTCGGTCAATCGTGATGATTTCAAAGGGAACGGTACCATCCCTAATAACGAGTTCCATTGAACACCTTTCCAAGAGTCCAGATCATAGACTCAGTGTAAACATACATAATTAATAAAATTTAATTTAATAGATTAGATTCCCACCATTTAATGGGGTAAGGTGCATCCGATGAGTGAAGGGATGTTGCTATATAGTGCCATAGTCAGTGAGGTTGCAGGTATAACAGGGGGCATGTTAACAATCCCGTGTTCATCAAACAACGTGTTGGTACCATGAGCAACGTGAGTGAGTAAGTGAGTAAGTTGGGTTAACGCCGCTTTGAACATTATTCTAGCTATATCACAGCGTGTCAGTCCGAAGTGATGTAAGTCTCAGACATTTGCCACATTGGTAACTCACGAGGAAGGGTATGGTGCTGACAAACCTAGAAATATAATCTGGGCGAACCGGGATTCTAACCCACCATAGGTCCAAACGGACGCAACCCTGCAAAAGGAAACTGCGCGCCCTAAACGACTGGGCCACCCCTGCCCCAACATAAGCAACGACCACGCCGTCAGGTACGATGTGACTCAATCAGGCATGCAGGTGACATTGCCGTCACCATCTCTACCTTAACGTACTATATATAGACGTCCATATGGATACAGTGTGTGGAGACGCTTTCCGGTGTCCCCCGACGTGACGTAACTAATGCGGCGTAAAACAATACTCACTCACTACTATACTGTACAAGGTTATGGACCTATTCTACGCCTTTGTGACCCATGCTTGCCGAGAATGACCTTTCTGAAGTTGAGTAACCATGCTGAACATATGCTCCAAATCCAGAGAAATACCAAATGCAGTTTGTGTGGATACATTTGGCAGACCTGTTCTTTCATTGCAGGAGCACGTTAATTAGGTTAGTTAAAGCAATTAAACTGAAGGGCTATTGTTTAGTGTATACATGTATTAGTAAACACAACTTCCCTTCTCGCCCACTACGTTATCCTTATTATCTGTATAGCAGGTGTATATTACTGCTCTACCTTTGTCCAATAAATTAAAATAGAGAGCACTATGTGTTTGAAATAAATTAAAAGAGTGGCGTTTGCCCGGTTCAGATGCTGCTCTTACGATCTCCATATTAAATCAGGTAGATACTGTGGAATTCAATGAGAAGGCAGAATCTGTCAGTTATGTAGTTTTAATCATATCCAAGGCATGACTTTTTACTTGTTTTGTTCCATTTTATGACGATATAAAGAAAACAATAAATTATTCTTTACATATTCTTTTCAAGCATCCTCATTTGTATAAATTGTACTTACTAAGAAGACTAAAATACTTTTACAATAATATTTTTGTCAAGGTGCATTTGCCACGCTATGTATCTTTGAACGCATGCACCTATTTAAGGATAAGATTTAATTTACCAGTTACCATGACTATTGATGTATATTTTATTGTAGAAATGTACCCTGACCTGCTTTGTATACATGTCATATAGCCATATGGCCTTCTCAGCAATAGGAATGAATGATTTTACTGTCTTGAAACAAATGTGTTTTCAGTGGCCTATTGTTGAAAAAAGGAGGTCGGCCCTTTAAAGGGAGATATGCCCCTTTCCGGCCTTAGTCCAGCTGTTGTATTTAGTTCCAAGTTTGCAATTGAGACATTGCCTCTGTGTACTTACTGTTATGGTGAGCTATTAGAGTTATAAACATAACATTATTAGAGTTAGATTTACAAAGTGGGTTTCAACATGAATAATGCTTGGACTGCGAAATGGCCCGAGCCTCCGCCTCGATTAACACATATGTATTTCGATGAATATAGCTAATGAACAAATGATTGACACGACGACATGAATCTTTAATGACAAAATAAAATAAAAATACAATAGGGAGCGGAACATTTGTTGAACAGAAAACTACGGTTAAAACGAACTCAAAGGGACCACTAATTTGAGTTCGTTATACGCATATATACAGCATAGCTACAGCATAGCTATAGCAAATAGTCGGGACAGAAAAGTAAGCCCGTTATATCCGTCAGTTCGTTATAAGCGTGTTCGAAATAAACGTAGTTTACTGTACATGTACATTTTCAACAGTTGACAGTTATGAGATAAATCTACGGTTTCACAAAGACGAACACCAGATGCCATTATGATTTATGGAAATGACCAATAGCATGCACAAGTATATGCTGCAAGATTCGGGTGACAGATCTACAACACGATCCACCTCTTCGGGTTGCCGCATCAGTGTCGACCTGCAGAGGGGAAACTACCGGCCTCTGTAAAAGTAGGTCACGGTGACCTAATGTGTCCACAATCTTTGACTTCTAAACGGGGCAAGGGCGTTGAACACCACGCAGGCGTAATCTAAATTGCATTGAAGACTTATAGTTTTAACGCCATTTTGATGATAACAGCGTGAATGACGTGATGCAGTTGCACATTTAACCAACAAGCAATATGTTGTCGGTTCCGCGACCTCAGGTTCTGTGATATTACATAATACAGGCTAGGATTCAGCCATAGCATGCATAATAGCAGTGAGCGATGCCGCGATGCAGTGTTCCACATTACTGGACTGAACTTAAACATACAGTTATTTTGTTAGCATTAAGAGCAAGATAGACTCTCACTTTGAAATTTCGGATGTCGACGAACACAAGACAGCTGCTGTCAGTGTGACCAAGCTAGATGTACAGAAGTCTACTCCCGTCTCGTCGGCTCAGAAGGGCATGCACCAGCAGCAAACGGGTGACGTAATCATTAGTTCCCGGATGATGTAACACATACGCATGCTCATGCCCTTTCACCCGGTCGGAGACATTTTACGTTCGCTTCCACACTCCGGCGCAGTGGTAACTTAGCATAACATATCACTGCCACAGGCTAATTTGCATATCACGTGACCGGACTTCTCTCTTGTTTGTAAAGAAACGCGTTTTTTTCAGAAATCAGAATAGAACAGATTAATGCAAGTATTTGGGGGCGCTTTACATATTCTTTTGCATAATTATATAAATATGCTACTACAACTGCGACAGTGAGTTGCATGGCAATACATATTTACACATCAAAGCGACCGTATTGCTGGCTCTCCGTTGGGCTTCGATGACAGCGCGTGGAACCGTACAACCAATGTAAACATAGAATAACTACGCAAATGGAAATAGTTTTTCACGATTTAGGATATTTTCTCAATGAAAGTTAACCATTCTATGACATATGTTTATCAAGATATGTAGACTTGTCAAAAATGAAACAGATGAAAAACATATGCAATATCTTGAATGGACTGTAAGATGTGACGAATCGTACTATGCTGGTCGCATGGAGTGGTTCGCTTCTATACGTTACTCACTCCGGTGACCGCCTCCGTGGTCTTGTGGTAGAGCGTCCGCCCGGAGAGCGGAAGGTCCGGGGTTCGATCCCGGGCCGCGTCATACAAAAAGACGTTAAAAGATTGTACTTGTTGTTACCCTGTCTGGCGCTCGGCATTAAGGGGCTAAAACAAGGACTGGTCGGCTCGGAGTCAGTATACTGTGTCTGAGTGGGGTATTCATGTTAAACTGCGGCATGGTATCTCAGTGAGCTAGCACTATAAATCGGCATCAGTCCGGACTAGTACAAGCAGCCACACACACACATACACGTGCATGCACGTCGCTATATAAGTGCAATAATCTTGGACGCGACGTTAAACCCAATTTCACCTCACCTCACCTACTCACTCCGGTACAACTACGACCAACTATATATATATATATATATAATAAAATAATAAAGTCCACGTTAGTCCATCATCTTCTTTATATCAGTTTCATACATAGTACTTTCGCTGTCAACATTTACCTCATTTTTGTATATATATATATATATATATATATATATATATATATATATATATATATATATATTAAACTACGGTTATAACGAACTCAAAGGGACCACTAATTCTAGTTCGTTGTAACCGTAGTTCGTTAAAAGCATATATACAGCATAACTATAGGAAATAGTCGGGACAAAAAAATAAGTTCGTTACATCCGTCAGTTCGTTATAAGCGTGTTCGTTATAGATAGATAGATAGATAGATAGATAGATAGATAAAATGATACAAAAGTCCAAAGATGAGCTGTATAATTTATTCTACCATTAATTTGGAATTTACTCGATTCTGATTGGCTATTAAATCACAATAAACCCCCTCTGATTGAAACAGCTGGTTTGACGGCCGCATCAGCGCGGAAGCTAATATTCATAGAATAGTACTATTTTCAGTCATTGTCGGTAGGCATATTTAAATAACTATATCCACAATTACAGGTTACAAAATGCACAGATGCGGTTACTACAATATTCAAAGGATGTGTGGCAATACATTTCGTGCAGAAAAACACGACAGAAATCAACAAAGGGAATGTATTTACGTTTTGGAGACAACAGAGAGCTTGAAATTTTGGGGCATTTCTATATACGACTGTGACGTCATATCTTTTGCGTCACAATGAGCGATATGACGTCATAATCGTGACGCGCGATGTAGAGCGAAAGCCTTGCAAAGCTTGCTTTGTTTTCTTTAGGGATGCCCACCTCATGTTAGCTTACCAAGTTGCCGTGCTTATATGCTTTCAATGCCTACCATATTTTCGAGTGAAGTATTACGGTGTAAACAACCTGCTTGCGTATATACAGCACCATATTTTTGTCGGTGATTCCGTAATTCAGATCGACAACCAACTCAAAACACTGAACTCAACCCATGCCGCTTCACTCAGTATATTTGCTAACATCAAAGAGTTCACGTTTTATTTAGTCATGGTAGAATGGAGATAAACATACGGTGTTTTCAATGTGGAGCTAGGTTACCTGTAGATATAACCGCGCTAAATTTAACATTTGAAACCTCACGCTGCGCTGAGGGGTCCCTTATTTGTTGTTGGTGGACCCTCTTAGGGTGTCCTCTGTCTGTCCAATGTATTCGGCCTTGCATCCAGCACATTGTACGACATAAATCATGTTTTTTTAAGCACAATTCATATTCTCTCGGACAGAGAAAGTTTTTCCGTCTTTGAATGAAATGAAGAACAACATTGTAAAACATGAGGGCAAGTACCACAATTTGGTCTGTTACACTTTTGTACTGTTTTACATTCTTGTTTTCCATTTGAGAAAGACGCCCTAGTAAGAATCTGTTTCAGTTTTTGGCTCTGTCTTTTACTTTTAATAAGTTTATTTTGTGATATTTTTTGTTTTAGTTCTTTACACTTATTTAAGGAATACAGTGTTTCCAGAACACTTCCAAATAATTCCGGGTTTGGGGGATTAAAGGTTGTAACAAAAGGGAGAACACTCTCATTAGGTTTATCTTTAGGTTTTAAAAGATCACAACGGTTTTGTGATTTAGCCTTGTTTATTGCGTCCTCCACTATTTTTCTAGGGTAGTTTCTTGCTAATAGTGACTCCCTCAGTTCATCGAGTCTATATTGTGCACGATCTGAATTAGATACTATCGCGCAGATTCTACGTGCTAATGAGTAAGGGACACTGTTTTTAGTAAGACGGGGGTGACAGGAATTGTTATTGAGGTATTGCTTGGAATCGGTTGGTTTCAATGTTATTGTTTGTAACCATTACGTCTAGAAACGAAAGATTGTTATCGCTCATCTCTAAAGTTAAAGATTCAACTTGGATGGAGAGTCTGTAAAATATCTATTAAACACTGTAGATCGTTTATCTTGAAATCCCTGTCCAAATTCAATGCCGAATTTTTCTTCAATTTTTGAGTACAGTTTTTCCTCCAAATAACCAAGTACAAGGATTGCATTAGTAGGGCCCCCCCCCCCCCCCCCCCCCACCCCCACCCCCACCCCCACCCCCATTGCTGTGCCTATTACTTGTTTGTAATGAGAACCATCAAAATTAAAAGTATTGTTGTTTAGAATAAACTTAATTTCTTTCGATTCAAAATTAATTAAATAATCCTCTTCCAATTTAGTAAGGCATTGAGAATGTGAATATACTAATCTTTTAAGATTAAGTAATACAGATTTCTCCGAACTGTCTGAAAGCTTTCTGTAACAGTCCATAATTATTATAGCTCCTCCCTTATCAGCTTCTTTAATAAACAATTGACTCGTTGTTTGATAATCTGTTTAGAGACGCTTGTTCATTTTTTGTTATGCTTGATATATATATACTTTCAGACATTTTAGATGCGCGTTAAGTGCCTTTTAATGTTTAAGCAGTTTGGCTCTAAATGGAGACCCCACGTGCCTTCAGTTAATTTGAAGATGCAATACGCCCAAAGTCGCAAGGGGGTTAGGGGTCATGATATGAGAGTGGGGCGATGGGGTAGCCTAGTGGTTAAAGCGTTCACTCGTCAGGCCGAACGCCATTTCTGGCCATTTCTGCACATATCTCTGTTAATATTTTGACGTTTCTTTGTTTGTGAATCATGACAAACCAAGTTGTCGAAGTCTTCCTCATCTATACGCATGTTCCTCAGATCTACCTTACCCTTGATACACACTGGAATAGTGACGTCAGCACACCACGCGAAGGGCGTTATGCTACGGACTGTAGTATGAGATCAGTCGATGTCTTTCTAAGGACTTTAAAAAATATTTTGTAGTGTGAGATATTCATTTCATGGGGGACCTTAAATTGTACGAGCATATGAATTAATTATAGTTGTTAGTTTTAATTTTGAAAGCATGGGGTCTCACACAAACAGTATGTGTCGTACTGCACTGCTATGCATAGCATTTGTAATGAATCACCATCTGAGGATTACTGGAGTATTGATATGGGAGATAACTCCTGATGTAATAAATGTATTGAACTGGGCGTGATGAGCAACACACATTTACACAGGTTATCTACCTTTATCTGAGGCATATCGCTACAAGCGAGTCACAAACATAATTCCTGTGCATATATTGATGCAGTCTTATTTTTATTGTGAATTGACAAAATCCCAACACCATGAGCAAGAACGCCTTTTTATAAACAGAGCATGTTTTTGCTCAACTTGTTTGGCAGATGTGTCAAACAAGTGTATTTAAAACACGTTTCTACTGTTCTTGGTGTGGGTGAATTTGTTTTAACGCCGCTTTGATCACTATTTAATCAATATGACGACGGATGATACCAAAAATGAACTGAACACAACTTATCCATGTTGGAAATCGAACCCAGTCCTACGGCGTGGCGGGCCAAGGTTTTAACCATTTGGCCACCACCCTGCCCGACATAATTCGTCCAGATAGTACAATAAAACAAAGTCATTGTTATAACTCACATACTGTATTCGTAAAATTCTTTTTACAATAAAAATAAAACATCTGAATAAAGCAAGCAGAGACAGGAGAGAAAGGCGGTGTGTGGAAAGAACAATCACACGTGTAGATACATGTAGTACAGTGCATGGAATCAAGATGTATATCACAGATCTTGGTGAAACATAACTCCAAAAGAAATATATATAAATGTATATATACAAGTATGACGCTGTCATAAACCTTTGAATTAAATTGTTTTCAAAAGGATAAATGGGTTTTACACTAAAAACACTCACACCCTAAACGGAAAATTATGTAAATTGCAAAAAATGTTTTTACATCAGTTTCTGCATTAAAAAACCCAAAGTACTTAAGTGAACAATTTGCAGCTCGGTTCGTCAACCACACAGTAAGAAATCGGTCTATTTACAATAAAGCTTGTGTACAAAACCACTTTGATTACATTGAGACAACAATATATGATATAGATCCTGGAAATTTGTAATTGGACGGACTGTTGCATCTCAACAAACTCGTTAATTATGGACAATATGAAACCTTTCCAGCAGTGGCAAACGTAATACTGATTCGATTTGGTTCAAAAGAAAACAATACTGTGAAGTGGACATTTGGAACAGTTCTGCTTGAATTGATAACAACATGTTTATGTCCTTTGAAACAGACAATAAAAGGTGTTAACATGTCCCCATACAAGTTCATCACAGATGAGTCAATATAACAATCAGTGAGAGAGCTATTTTCAGGCGACATTACACAGAGACAATGCGTGGCGACATGGGGAAGGTTTTGCGCATGCCCAGGCACTTCTCTCTGTCGATGAAGAGGCTGTTGTTCTTGACGGACAGGTCCTGTTCCAGGGCGGACTTGGTTCGAAGGAGTTCCTGGAGGGCATTCTCAGACATGCGCAGCTTGGCCTGGAGTGAATCCACGGTGTCAGAGATCTCGCCGACCTCTTCCACAAGTCTGAAGGAAAGAGGAAAGACATTGGGGTTAACACACGGTAACTATCCTATATAAATGTATGTACCTTCCACGTACTACTTTTGACGACGAAGTAGAAGCATTGAAATAGAGACAATCATAGAATTGTAGATATCATTCAGAGGTACAGTTAATTTTAATCTAACACTCATCATAAGAGATTAATGTAAGAATGATCGCTGGTATGAATGACTGCCTGGGAGTGCCTGCATAATAGTGATGAGGTGAAATGGGGTTTACGTCACGTCCAAGAATATTGCACTTATATAGTGACATGCATGCACCTTTGTGTGTGTGGCTGCTTGTACTAGTCCGGACTGATGCCGATTTATAGTGCTAGCACACTGAGATACCATGTCGCAGTATACTGACTCCGAGCCGACCAGTCCTTGTTTTAGCCCCTTAATGCAGAGCACCAGACAGGGTAACAACAAGTACCATCTTTTAACGTCTTTTGGTATGAGGCGTAGGGGGGGTCGACCCCGGACCTTCCGCTCACAGGGCGGACGCTCTATCACTGGACCACGGAGTCTTTGTAAAGACATCAGCTACAGTGATAGGGAAGTGAGTGAGTGGGTATGGTTTTACGCCGCTTATAGCAATATTCCCGCAATATCACGACCAGGAATTGGCTTCACACATTGTACCCATATCGGGAATCGAACCCGGGTCTTCGGCGTAATAGGGAAGTAATAGGGAAGAAGTTGACCTGTGTTGGACTGGGTCGCGGCAGAGCTCAACGTTGGGTCTGCGGATCCTGGTGTCGAGCCTGGTGTGGGCGACCTGCATGGGCGCCTGCTTGTCCTGGGTGGCCTTCTTCAGCAGCTCGATGTTCTTCTCCATGTCGAAGATCTCCTGCAGGACCTGAAATACAACAAAAGACATTGAACACACATGGCGATTTCAGAGCCCATAGAGACGACTTGCAGAGAGATTTAAAGATCACGCAGATACGACCAACGGGATCGGGTGGTCAGGCTCGCTCACTTGGTTGATGCATGTCATCATATTGCGTGGATCGATGCTCATGATGCCAATATAGCTCATATAGCTGTAATATTGCTGAGTGCGGCGTCAAACAACAAACAAACAGATACGACAATGCACACTAAAAGTTGAAGCAAGATAAGCTGTAGTATACGTCACTGATATTTGGGCGGACACAGAATGCCTATTTAACAGCGAAAAGCAAGACGAACTCTATTGTAAAGTTATCTCCCTTGCATTGTGCTGAGACCAGTTCCATATGTGGAACGCATGAAAATATGATTTCTAGAAGTATGACAATACATTAATGGTCATAATAACCATATTAGGGTGATGTGACACAAAGAATATAAACATTGATTCAGAGAAGGCTATTAGAACGAATGGAAAGTAATTCTAAATCCAATCTGTAAGATTTGTAAAAGATCAGAGTGTCCTTGTGAACATTGATCCTATGTAACTTGCAATGTCACTCGAGACCTGCGGTAAAATGCCCCGCGGCCTACCTTGGACAGATGGGTCTGGAGTTTGTTCCTGGTGTCTGTGGTCTCCTGCATCCTGTGTGTGAGGGCCACATTGACGGCGTTCCACTCCTGCCACATCTCGTTGGCGCAGGAGTTGAGCACGCTCTCAATCTCATTTCTCAACTGCTTGGAGGCGGCGCGCTCGCTCTGGGAACGCTGGATGTTGTCGTTGCTGAACTTTGCCCACGTCTCCGGCACAGAGACGCTGCGAGATGGAGGAAACATAAGAACATGGCTTGTAAGAATAATGAATTGAGAATACTGTATATCAGTTCAGACGATGAAAAGCCAAAGATCGATGCAGATTCCTGCGTGTACAATTATGTGCCGGAAGTTATAAGCCAATAAAACGTGTTCCTCTATGCAGTGTAGATAGCGGCGTGGGTGGTCATGAGGGTATACACAGATATATATTGCTGATGGGGCAAAGGTTTGGTATGTGGTAAATATACAGTACCGTTGATCACACGTTGGTTACACAGAGTAGGTTAATATGAAGCAGAGGTTTATAGGCTGTTATATGTATATATATCCGAAACTTGATGGGTGATATGCATAAGGTTATCTCCTTAAACCAAAGCTTAATGGAACATTGCAATAAATTGTTACTCGTGTTAATTTACATCCATCATGCATTGTTAATCATTTACAAACATAAAAAGGTTATTGGTTTGGCTGATATTTAGCATTGCCACGTACAAACATACAAACAACAATCCCATGACTTCAGACAATTATAAAAACAAAACAAATATTAATCAACAACAAAAGACTCCCATTATCTCGATGGTACCAAATGCCGTTAACCATGTGATGTCAATATTGATAAAGATTATTTCAGAGGCCATTGTGAATTTCGAGTGAGGTAAGAGATAACGGGAGTCTCTGTGACCACAAACATCCTGTGAAACAAAACAAGCATTAATCAACACAAACTCAAAGGAAAATATAAAGAAAAGCAAGAACAGGGTGAACCACACAGCATCAGCAGCAACACGTGGGATACAGGTTGGTGCGTCACACACTCAACTCACGTATTGTCAATCCTGTTGACGCCATTATGGTAGGCGAGGCCACGGGAGTTGTTCCGCATCAGGTGGCAGTTCTCATCAAGGTTCTGAGCCATGAACTTGTCACCAGAGTCCTTCTCAAGCTCATGCTGAGATGCTCGGTTCAGGCTGAGAGAGAAGACAGAGCAGATGACTACAGAGGCTAGAGGAGGAGTACTCACGTGGGGTCTATTGTATGAATGCCGTTGTGGTACGCTATGCCTCTGGAGGAGTTCTTGATCCCGTGGCATTCTGTGTCCACGACCTCCGCTATCTGTTTGTCTCGCTCATCCATTTCTATCTCGTGCTGAGCAGCCCGATTAATACTAAGGTAATAAAGTATATTGTATATCTGCTCGTAGCGGTGAGATATGACCATGATGATGATGGTTTGGGGCAGTTCAGTGTAACATGTCGGAAATACCTCATGTATAGGCATGGGATACAACCATGGTCTGTATGAAAAATGAAGTTTTGATTTTTATTTGTTTGTTGTTTAACGCCGCACTCAGCAATATTCCAGCTATGTGACGGCGGTCTAAATAATCGTGTCTGAACTAGACAATCCAGTGATTGATATCATGAGCATCGTTCCATACAATGGGGATACAATGACATGCATCAACTAAGTCAGCGAGTCTGACCACCCGATCCCGTTAGTCGCCACTTACGACAAGCATGGGTTACTATTCTAACTCAGATCTTCACGGGGGGTTGATTGAAATGAAGTGAATTTATGTATGACGAGCTGTGAGCACCTGAAATAAATTGTATATAAATATGGGTAAAATGTCAGCTGACAAAACATATATCGTTTTTTAGTTTGACATAAAATAATTAATGTCACAGAACTCCCGATTCAGAAGAGAATGATCCAGCATACATCATGCATACACTCTCCCTCTTCGAGGGGCGGTGGGGTAGCCTAGTGGCTAAAGCGTTCGCTCGTTCGATTCCTCACATGGGTACAAGGTGTGAAGCCCATTTCTGGTGTCCCCCGCCGTGACATTGCTGGCACAATGCTGAAGCGGCGTAAAACCATACTCAATCAATCCCTTTCGTCAAATATGACGCCTTATTGACATTAACATTACCAATTGAAACGTTATTCCTGTATCCTCCTTATAGTTTAAGGGGTATCAAAAGTTGTATAACTGTGTCCTAAGCCCCTTCCTTCCCTTATGTGAGTACAGGGGCGGTCGGGTTGTGGACAAAGCGTTCGCTCGTCACGCCGAAGACCCGGCTTCGAATCCCGACATGGGTACAATGTGTGAAGCCCATTTCTGGTGTCCCCCGCCGTGATATTGCTGGAATATTGCTAAAAGCGGCGTAAAACCAAACTCACTCACTCACTCATGTGAGTATAATATCTTAAAGTGTAACACGAGAAATAACATATGCTGAAGCCAGTAGCTGACCTGAGCTGGACATTAGCCTTGTCGATGACGTTCCTCATCCTGTCCTGGCATCGCTTGATGATATCCACCTCCTGGAAAACAGAACACCAGGTGTCAGCACCATAAGCCATGTATAAGTGTGTCTCGTTTACCTAATGAAACTTCCACATCTCGCAATCTAATTTCAAGAACAAAACACTTCCAACAAATGCAGTTTATCATGTAAGCCTTCTGAGGAAAAAAGCTCAAACGAAATCTAATATATCCACTTGTATCAGATTATTATGACTAACATAAAGTTCATTCTAAAGAAACAACCTATATTTCACAAATATATTGCAAATTGTTGTTTGTTCAAATGGCTTAACGTAAATAATAGCTGCCTGAAGTTTCAATGGCTATGCAAACACCTCCATACTAAAACACACAACGCAGGCATCGGAGCATGTAGCTGGGGACAAAGTCGTAACGGGCTGTCAATGTGGTTCTATAAGGATTATAATCATGACATGATGACCTGTCAAACACTACAATACACACTATCCAGACAGCAGCACCGGGACCATATTCACGAGCTCACGAGCCATAATGGCTCCCATTCATTACAATCTCCCAGCCAATTTGCTTGCAGGGTACATACCAGATGTCTGTGAGATTCTTAGCGGACCGCCTTGTCTGGGCATGTAGTAAAGAATAGGAACCAATGAATCATTGGCCTGGGATCTATCTAAGTATTTGATCAAATGAAACTGTCCATTTGTAGGTTTGACTGAACTTTGCTTAATTACCCTTAATTAAAGAAAAAGTTTCAGCATGAATACGACCCGAATATTAACCTGGGATTAAAGTAAGAAAATCAGCATAGTTGAAAACGACACTGAGAAACATTTGGCCTGTAACACGAGGATCTGGATTTTATTCACGTTAAAAATAACGGCGCTAATCAATATGGATCTTTGAGTTTCCGGAATAATTTGCCCCAACAGTGGTAATTGCGTGTCTAGTAGATGAGGCGTTATGGGAGACGACGCCCTGGGGCTTTACGATAATTATTCATATGTGGACATTTCCTAAACTCGTTGCGCGTACGCAATACCAGTGGTGGAATAAAGTCTTTGTAGACTTTCAATTGCCGCAACGTAGTTCGGTATAGTAGTCACTTGTCCACAGCGGATCAAGTGTTTCGCGAACTCAATTAACTCAGTGTCGGTGGGGATGCAGGCAATAACTCTCTGTAGTCATGTTTGTATATTATACAATACTGTAGATCAAACGTTTGCCAGTACAAAGAAAACACGCCGTGAGATATCGTGACATCAGCACGATCTACAGCATGCACTAGCCCAGGTGACTGCCCTGTCGGAACCCGGACAAGTTCTTCTGACAGTGAATACTGCGGTAATCGATAACGGTCTGATGGCGCAAGGACCTTCAGTCGATATCGATGAAGGCTGACTGGGTTAGCTTACTCAATAGGATAGATTAGCCGTGGGATTGCGGGGCAGTATTTCTCAATGAATCACTGCGACAGGGGTCTTTTATTGGAAAGCTATTAAGCTCAGCAGGTAAACAAGCATCTCGACGCATGAACGGATGTACTCTCCGAAGACAAGGCTATTTTTTACAAGTTAATGTTACCGATTGCTATATAATTAGTGCGCTTGATATGCCATATGTCAGAATGGGAGGAAATGGCAAATATATGCAAACAACTGTAACAGTTGCAATTCTAAACGTAAGGAAAATTGATGAGATGAGTCCCTACGTAATCCTAATATTGGCGTTCATCAGATGACATGCAGAGTTGTGAAAGTACCAATACATGTACTTAAGTTTCGAGATCACATAATAAACGCTGAAATCTGATCAGATCAAATGAATATCAGTCATATTTCTACTCGATGGTGACACGGACAAGTGCAGACGACATAGCGGTGACTATGCGATACTCCACAGGGGGTCGTCGCCATCTTGCCAGCTATTTTGGGACACGGTGTTTTACTGAACATTGGGGGTTAATCCTATTTGTTCGATTGGTGGTCCAATAACGAGATACACCGATAACCTCTCACTCTCATTGTACGCCTCTCATGCTAACACACGAACACGGGTGATAAACTCACCACAGCATTTCCCTGTGTATTGGAAACCACTAATCCTATTATATTTGCCATTGCCCTCTATACTTTAAATCTTGAATGTAGAAGTTTCTATGATTAACGAACATGTATATGTCTATTGGACAATTATTAAACATCACAAATGTTAACAACTGATTTAAATGCCCATTGAAGCCATTTCCAACACCAGACTCTATTTCAAGACGGCGAGACCTTAGACAGCTGATTCAGGAAATTTCATCTGATTAACATGTATAACAATTTAAAGACTTAAAATATTTATCTAAAACGAGATTGAATTCTTTCAAACCGAATTTTGATAGTCTCTAATGTTCGAACCCTGCGAGGTTTCCACGCGAACACGCTATAGTATTCACCAGAACAAGTCTTGTAGTCTCTTCAAGTAAGTATAAAGAGCATGCACCAACCCACCATCGATCTTCACCCTACTCAGGACCAGTTACTGTCGATAGGGTAGCTGTCACCATTCTCCATTGTTAGCTCATTACGGGCAATACGTAGAGGGTTAAGCACTTGAGGGTCTCGAGGGGAATAGTATTGGATGTAGTGTGATTTATGCTTGCTTTTCGTTTCCCTTACTAGGTCACCTCGACGGACACTGGAGATGCATTGTCAGCAGTAAAGCTACATCGGTGGCTGTTGAATAACTCGCATTTATTACCTTACGCAAATATACAGACAGAGTTTTTGGTCAGTGTTGTTACATAAAACGTATGTTTGCCAGTGTCGTCACGTCTACGTTTTATTCTTACGTACATCTCGACTATATTTGGATTATAATTCCTGCTGTTGTTCAACTGGTTTTACACAAATGAGTGAGTGAGTACGATTTTACGCCGCTTTTAGCAATATTCCAGCAATATCACGGCGGGGGACACCACAAATGGGCTTCACACATTGTACCCATGTGGGGAATCGAACTCGGGTCTTCGGCGTGACGAGCGAACGCTTTACCCACTAGGCTACCCGACCGCCCCTTTACACCAATGGTTCAACAGGCCACACGCTGTGAGTCATGTCCATTATCTATTTCCTAAATCTTGCAATGCTTTCCCGGTAAGTATCAGGCGTACGGAACAGTAGTATAATATTTAACATTAATAAAGAAACGCTGTGGCACCGTGCATCCTCAATAGCATTAATGCCAAGCTCTTTATCAAGCTTTCATGCACCATTGTCAGATGGCCACACCACACGAACACTAATGCACTGGGAATAATTCAGTATAACCCGATCCCAGTGTTTGGCCACAGTGTTACAGTAACCATTTACCCACAGTGGGTTAGGGCTCTTAGCGGTTAGGGTTCATAAATCAACCAGACCCCACGATCAACAAGCCTGCATGCTTCTCGATCATGTTGATCAGATCTGATAATATCATAATATGCTACTCATATAATAATCTGTTTCAGATGAATACATTAAATACGTAATCTGTCATGATAACTACACGATCTATAAATTCATTACAATCTTTATCTTCGCGTTACCAAATATGAAACTGGCTGAGAAATTATTCATTAAGTGGGTGAGCGGAGAATTTAGTAGACAAATAATGACGATGGAACAAAAAGGGGCTTCTCAGAGTTTTCCTGTGTGAGGAATCGATCCCAGACGATCGTCTTAAATGTCTACTGTGCCGCCCTGTTGCCCCGAAGGAATTATGGAGACGTTATAGCCTCTTACATTGACCCCCAACAGGACCTAACGTCACCAACGGAACATGTATGACTATTATTGGGAATTAGCCTTGTAAAACTGTATTTGTTTTAGTCGACATATATTGGTCTGCTGTCATCTATACATTACATTTGGGAAGGGCATTTGATTTAAAGATAAAACACCCAATAGATTTTTACTTGATTCAAATTTAGGGCTTAACTCCTGACTCAATCACTCAAGATCTATATTACTATTTCGTTCTAAAAAATGGTTGAATGCGTTTATTACTTTAGGTTCGTTTGGTATACGGTTTATAATTCAGTAGCTACTATAGGCTCTACATACTTTATTATAATGCAGGGCTAAACCTTCTCTGTCGGGATACACGCGGGTCAGAGCTACACGTGCAAGACGGGTATGGAGTCTTTTACAAATCTTATCTACAGCGAGGCATCAAATCGATCACTTGATCAATCACATGTCAACTTGGCTATGTACCCTCAAGGATCCCCATATAAAAGACACAACCCAGGTCCGGAAAAGGGGAGGAGTCGGTTATCAATTTTGAATAGAAGCTTATTTTATCATGTTTAAATGACTGTATTCAGACATGCAGTCGGTTTTATGCCTCGCTTGGCAGCACGGCTGTGCGTATCGCGACATATCATTCTATCGGGTATATAAATAAGACACATTTACATATATTATTGGAAATCAACAGAAACTGCTATTTACCAGGAAAATCATAATATAAAGGTAACATGGTTGATTGACAAATAGATCATTACAACGCCCCCACCACACACACCACACAAAAAAAAGAAAAAAAAGATATTCTAAACTGATACAACTAAACAAGCTTTAGGTTTTGTTCCGCCTCGTCATATAAAAATTACAACAGTTAAAGTGAATCAATAGTTTAATTATACAGTTTATATATATTATATATATTTCTTCTGGCGACTTATTCTTGGGATCCGAAATTAACACTGCCACATTTGGCCTATTCACGACTAAAGCTCCTGTTCTCAAGCATTAAGACTACCTGATCTGGGTGTATTACTATATACAGAGACTGTTATAATAACTGAGTGTTATACGCGCTGTGTTTAAGGCACTTGTCTCCATATAGCCGTGATCATTTATAGCAAGTTTGACGTCAGGACTGGTTTGACGGGTTTCACAGAAAACAGTCTATGATCGCATCACTTATTTTCAAATCAATAACACCTGTCAGTTTTGATGTCGAACAAACATTCAGTCCCACAGCTAATTTCAGATCAATTCTTACATCCGGTGGATGGTGGAATGGAAGATAATTGAAGAAATACAGACTAGGTCAGGTGACCTGGTATAGCGTCATCATAAATATATGACAGCATTATTGTGATTACCGTTGCGTGGGCGGGTAAGTTTGTCATTTCAACCAATAATCTGTTTAATAGCGAGATGATCTCCCAAAGCAATGACTGATACACTTATCACAAACTTTATAAATAATAAGCCTTGAGCTGGGATAAAAAAATAAAATCTTAAACATTATCCGATTCATTATACATTATGGGTGCAACTGGAACTTTGTAATACTGCTTTGGAGATAGTCATATGGTTTTTTTAAAGACAGATTCCTCACACAAACATACAAAGAATAGATGTCTAAGGTAGTTGGGGGACAATTTCAGTGATAACGTCCATTTGAATATATGGCTGCCACCCCCATCCCGCCCTCCCAGGAAGAATTGGTCTACATCCTCATTGACTGGGTAGTCGTTATAAATGTGGACCTGCATGAGCGTGGCATCCAATCCAAAAATGTAATATTGCTGACAGTGGCCTTAAGCAACATTCACTCGCTCAAACCCTCCAAACAACATTGATTCACACTGTAACCTAAGATCTGCCAAATACAGGAACACAGCTTGAAAATAAAATAACATGAACATAATAGATGGTACCTTGATGAGTTCCCTCTCTGGGTTGTCATGCACCAGGTCGATGGCCTGCCTCTTCTCTCTGTTGTACAGACACTCCTGTGAGATGTGAAGTGGGTTCTCTGTCTCAGCCAGAGCCTTCTCCATGATCCTCTTGGTCTCCTGCAGAGAGTTGGTCTCAGTGATCATGTTGTCGGTCTCATGGTTGAGTTCTGTCTTCCAGAAGGTGATGTCCCCGATCCTCTCGCCAAGTCGCTTGCCCACATCGGTCTGGGTACGGCGGGTCTTGTCGTCTGTCTCACGGCACAGACGGACGGTGTCGAACCTCAGACGTTCGGCCCCGCTCCTGACCCTGTCAGACGACAAGTAGTTGCTCTGGTTAGACGAACTCCAATCATTGGGGGTGTAGCGGGTGTAGAGAGCATTCCTGGCAGCAGCGAACACTGGGGGTACTTTAATACTATCCAGTTGAGTGAGCTGGTTCCTAGCTGACATCGGGTCAGGCATGCTGCGCGTCAAGGCCGAGTTGGGGTTCACCATTGCGGTCTGGTAGTACGTGCTGGGTCTCCATGGGAGGGTGGTGAGAGACCTCCTGAGCGGAGATGGGGCCGGGTAGGTGTCATACGCCTTATAGGAGGAGCGCATGGTGCTTATAGACGGGAGGAAGTCTGTCTGGGTGTTGTTCTTGGGCCCAGTCATGTAGGTGGCGGTTTGGGTGTGGCCAAGGTACTCCATGGTAGGGTGGTGGGGTTTAAGGAATGCTACTTCTGAAAAAAAAATAATCCTGCAATGAAGTAATGACGACGAAATACGAAGATCTAGAGATTATACACGGACAACGTTTGAAATAAATATACATGTACACACCCATGCGTTGGTTAAATATAACATAGGCACATTTCATTCAACTGCATGTGCATATGTTTGTTTATTTTGCACTTGCTTTAATATGATGGCGTGTGGTAATGCAAATGATTGATGTAAAGGACATGATTAGGTTATTGATAAAACGTTTTAAGAGCTTTATTGGCCTCCGAACTGAGAAATATGATGAATATGAATCAACATGTACGACTTGCCTGGGGCTAGTTCTCCTTACACTGTATTGACATTCGGATTATCGTCAGTGCAATATTAATGAAAGCAGTTCAACATTACATGTAAATGTGCGCATGTGCAGCCCCTGCCTTATCGTTTATCAACCCGACTGAGTTATAATTAATTATTCACTATCTTGACATAATTGAATAAAGCGATTAGCCTCACGTGCATGGTTACAAACTAAAACATATGCGGTGACTAGGATACGGTCTGTGATGCACCTAAATATATCCTTCCGCTTTTAACAAGTAAGGGCAACTTCAAAACAAAATAATCTTAACTAGATTATGTAAGAATTAAATAACTTTAGACTTATTAATCGTTTACTGTCCATATTTTAAATATGCTGTTTCAATTTATAATATATACATATAAAAAAAGTTAACATATCAAATCTGTAACATACTTGTTGACGATATTACATAAATAAACTAGTCATTTATAGTTAAATCATATCCCCCGGTATCATATCGTCTTTAGTCACAGTGAGTAAAAATCCTTTAAGTTAAAATTATGAAGTTAGATACAGGTACATTTGATACACAAGACGTATTGCTACCCGTAACAGCAGCCATGGACCAATCGTCAGTAACTTGCCTGAAACAGATATCTATCAGAATACCGCCTGTTATTGGAAATGCTCATTAGAATACATCACACTGACGCAAAATGATTTACCTCGAATGTACTTCTCACGTTTATAAGCTATGTCATATAAGAATCACTCATATCCTCAAAAGACGACCAGTGCAACGCGTGTCTGGAACATGGTCTGGGTAGAGATCCCGTGCCTATAACACTGACACTGCCTGCTCACTGGCTTCCCCTAGTCGCATGTTTACAGTCACCCCGCTACCTAGAGACACTCGGCAACGTGAGAGGAAAGTTGCGCTATTGATTGAGTTCGCAAAGCCCGCGCGAAACAAACGACCATCAAACGCTTTGTATAGGCTCCCTGTATGGTTCAATTGACAGTCTTATTCAACACTTTTCTTTCATTGCGAGTCGAATAATAGTATCCGTTCATGATTAATGTTATTCATTGAAGTAGATTTTGATTGCTCTTTTTCCCTCAATAATTACTATCACAGCTGTTTGGTTGATCGTGAAAAGACATGCATTTCACATAGGCTGATTATTGCCTTGTTAAACGTGTGTGTGTTTGTGCACCTGCGTTACGTGTGACTTTCATGTGAAGTACTCTTCGATTTACGTTTCTTTTCAACAAGTGAGTGCAATTGTTTGACCAATACAATCAGTATCTGAAGAGTTTACGTTGAAATCTGTATAAAACGATGAAATAACTCCGAAATAGAAGTTGTCGTTACGTTGATGGGGGGCCACGCCGTGATATAACTGGAATACTGTTAAGCGGCGTTAAACCCAACTCACTCCCGCCCTCACGTTAAGTTTCTGGAGCTAATTAAATATTTTACTGCCATATAGCTTAATCAAGAAACCTAAGAGCAATATAACACCAATTTAGGGAGTTTCACATACCCTTTAATCTAGAAATCACACAAGTAGTATCCCGAGATCCGTGCTCCTAAATATGAGTAATATATATATACTTGCAAGACATTAATAAGGCCTATTTCAAAAACTTTCCCTATACATTGTCTGTTGTGTTATCCTACCTAACTCCGGGAAACAGCAGCAGTTATGTTAATCTGTGCATAATAATTCCACAGTAAAGTTTAATAAGTAAAATCAGTTCAATGACAGGATTAACACATTATTTCGATATTCTACGTTGTCAGTTAACTTTCCTAATACACTTTGTGACGGAAGAGTATCTATTTAACTGCATGACAGTATAATAATGTTATTGTCGCAATAACATGATAAAAAGAGGTATTCCCATATTATATTACCATTATATAGCAATGCTGAATCAAGAACATAATAAATGTTTGAAGTAAATTTGAAGTGTGGAAGCATGTCTCAGTGGTTGTTTCCCCAACTCACAATATATAATTAACGGAATAAAATGGTGAATCACACAACATAGGAGGAATTAAGATGTCAGTGTTTATGCAAGTAATTGTTACGATTAACAATCACTACGTATATATGTTTAAAACTTTTAGAAGCAATACCATAGAGCATCACTGAGCATTGTTAACCGTATAAAAAAACAGCTTTGAAATACATAAAACGTATTTACCCCCGTTTCTGTACAGCCTAGAACTGTTGTTTCTATTAAATCGGAACATAGCTGTTTATGTCGCTGTGTCCATGCTTTCTTTACAGAAAATACAATCCAGGTGGAGAGTATCAAGTGGATCGTGATGCGGTTCCAGTGCGGTTGCTGGGAGAAGAAACTTTTCCTTCCCGAAATGCACCGCGAGGAGTGACGTAACAGTATGAGAACTCTCCAGCGAAGGAGGTAGAAGAGGTCATTCAATATGGCGGACGTTCCAACTAATGCGCCTGAGCGTGAGTATATAGATATATTCTGTGTTTTCGATGTTAATGAAGACATATTTTAATGTATCTAACCGAGACCATGTTCTTCGGGTATCATACGTTATGGCACTTCAGTTGTCATCTGTTTGTTTAGGCTTGATCATTTATAAATTGCGACGCTATTTGGGACTGCAGGCGTGTTGTTAGCTTCATAAAGATACTTGTTTAGTGTGGATACACGATTGACGATTATGAACTATGAACATACGTATCATTGGTCACATTTTTGTCAAGCCATTATTACTCTAGGAGCCTTACTCATTTAATACAATTCTCTGATAGGACAAAACATTGCCAGCTTATTTCTCTGTTCACTTGTTCAGAAGGGGAGAATAATATTGAACTCCACACTGAGTCTCAAAAGTGCAAGTCATACGATTTGCAGGTGCTCTGCGCGAATCTCATTTCCCCCTGTTTCTCGCACATTACTTTGTTAAGAGTGTTATATCATAGAAAAATGAGTTTCTGGCAAATTGATTAGAATGAACATGATGAATGTCTGGACCTAGTGACTAGTCCAACTCTAGCTGTCAATTCCCCTCAGATTCACCTGAGTATAGTTAGGGTATCAAATACTTTATCATGTTTATGTTTTCATCATGATGATGAATGCAGTGTGGGAAATATGTATCCCTTTTAAGTCATTCTTGCCTTCTCTCCGATATCATTTATTCTCTTATCCCAGATAGTTGATGTTAACAGATTAAGGGTAGATACTATCACCTAAAGGTACTATGATACTACCAGTGATGCCTGCTATTTGACATCATTTCCTTCCACAGACTGCCCTGGTACAGGGAGTGAGGGTGCGGGTCAGGCATCTGCCTGTCAGGGATGCCCTAATCAAGTTCTGTGTGCTCAACCCAAAGCAAAGGATCCAGGTATGACATTGAGAAATATATATCAACTCTGATCCTGAGGCACCGTCTATTTTCAAACACACAGTGATCACATTGAGGGGTATTTGATGGAGTCATTGAGGTTTGCTTCTTTTACTTTCAAATGCTGTACCTTAAACAGGGTTATGATATACTTGATGCCTTAATCTACAATGCTAAATGAAATATTCACATCAAAGACCAAGTATGTAAATCACATTAGGTACAAGCACTGACAGAAAGGTATTTTCTTTAAAACCAGGGAATTAACTAGGTCTGTCCCCTTACTTCGGAATAATGATATGTTTATAAATATTATGCACTTTATATAACATTTTCACGAGGTAATTTTGTTTTGTTCTATGATATCTAAATGCCTCCTTTTTTAACCATACAATTATGATTTTAACAGCCACTGGCACTATAATAATGCAAATTTAGAATTCTGACATGTGAAAAGTTCAAGAAGTTGATCACAGGTTTAGTCTCCTTATCAAGGTTATATTTTTCGTGATAATGCCTGGAACCTGATTAGGCAGTAAGTATCTGTAATCAACAGCACATTGATACGTTATTTTTTAGTACATCTCTGTCATTTTGATGTTTATTTGTATTTCAGCACTTGTTCAGATAAAAGAGAGACTGTCTACTGTTAAACATAAGGTGCTGGTTCTATCAGGGAAAGGAGGTGTGGGCAAGAGCACCTTCTCAGCTCATCTTGCACATGGACTGGCCAGTGACAGCAAAAATCAGGTAGTCAATATTAGCCAGTTGTCTGTCCTTGCTGTCATTGCATCTGTGTTGTGTGTTTATTCGCTTGAAGACATTAAAGTTAAATAGAATATGTTCACAGTTTGATCAGTATCTATATGTTATGTACACTAGTTATGCATTGCTTTGTTTGTTGAGTTAGTGCAGCACATAAATTGTCTTGGCGGTAATCATTGTTTATTGTTTTCTTTGTGTTTTTAACAGCTCATGTTTTGACAGAAAGAGAGAATTTGTTTAGAATTTATTTTGAATTTGGTGTAACATTTGTTTTAAGAGGGTTTTTAAAATACCAAATCTGAGGTGTTGTGAAACTTGCCTTCCTACTCTGAGATACCGATATGAGATCAAATTCTGGGGAATCCACAGAAATGGCAACACAGTTTAGTAATATAAACAATAAATGGTGTGACAGTACATAAGATATCTTATTTAGGTTTTTTCACAATTGGACAGCATATGAAACTCTTTTTGTGAACGTGATTCCCTAAATTAACAGAGAAGATTATGTTTCTTAATATGTTATATATGCCTCCTTTTGAAACAAGATAGAATCATTACCTTTGATTACTGAGTGTTAAAGTCATAATTGTAAATTGTAATAGCTATTAAGGATGTAAGTTAGATGAATGAAATGCTTGTGATTATCTAGTTCATCTTTATGACTAACAAAGCTAACATGATTAAGAATATTAATATAAGAACTTGTGAAATACATAAGCCATATTATTACAGCAGAAAACCCTATAAACAATCATAATGATTCACAAATATTTGAGATATTTTACTCACAAGAGGCAGAAAACATCTGACTTTTTCACGTGGCTATAGTTAATCCCATGCTATGACAGATGAACTATAGAGATGGGAAGAAAGTAGTAGTAAACCTGTTTCCTTCCTCCTGCAAGTTTACACTGTACTTATACAAAGTCTTATGTAAGTGAAAAGAAAATACGGGTTTCACTAATGTCAGATACACTACAACTGATTTTCTTCCTGTGTATTTGCGTACATTGCCTGACCACTGTCCATTAGATCCCATGATATACGTCAGTGTTTCAATAATGCAGACAGCTATAGATACTGCTTGTACTGACCCCCACCCTCCACGATACCGATCTCGGGCACCCACAAGTCAAATCCCCCTCAATATCAGCTTTGAAATGAGTATAGATTGCACACCCCATTAGACTTATAGAGAAACTCCCTAGCATATACAGTCAGGCTTCCCATCATGCAATAGTATCACATGTTATGCGCCAATTTTCAAGATCATTAAAACCAATCAAGCGTGGTATTAGGCAAAGGGCATTTAGTACTCTGTCATTGTATATGTTGTGCTGGAATTGAATGGTTATTTTTTGCATGGCACATTTTGTGGTTTATTGAATTTAGTCATGCTGATATTGGAAACTTTTATGAACTTTCCAATTACATGACAATGCTGAGGATACATGGTGCAACGTTATGGTTGAATATTTATGATCCCGCCAGCAGGATGTCAGATGCTTGTTGGCCTTTATTGGCAGAGATCAAACTGACTTAATTGAGTCTGTGAATGTTATAACTATTTTGTAAATGTCTTTATGGCAATGTCTACATTCATCGTGTTCTTACTGGCTCTGGTAAATATGTGAACATGGTATTACTGCTGTGGTTACAGTTCAGTGTTGACATATCTTATTAGTAATGAGAGTTATTTGATTTTTTTCTTGATCTTTTACTCCTGATGAGGCAATGTTATTGCTGACATGATTGCTATTTACAGGTTCTACTGGCTATTTATTGTATTATAGAAAGAAATCATGTTCTACTGGCTATTTATTGTATTATGAAAAGAAATCATATTCTGTTGGCTATTTATTGTATTATAAAAAGAAATCATATTCTGTTGTCTATTTATTGTATTATAAAGAAATCATATTCTGTTGGCTATTTATTGTATTATAAAAAGAAATCATATTCTGTTGGCTATTTATTGTATTATAAAAAGAAATCATATTCTGTTGGCTATTTATTGTATTATAAAAAAGAAATCATATTCTACTGTCTATTTATTGTATTATAAAAAGAAATCATATTCTGTTGGCTATTTATTGTATTATAAAAAAAGAAATCATATTCTACTGGCTATTTATTGCATTCTAAAAAGAAATCCATGGTTTGAGAGAAAAATGACAATTTCTTTTTTATCTTGCATGTGATGTTTAAATGCTTATTTTATTGCAACTGACACATGGGAATAAAATTTAATTTGTTTATCAGTTACTGGAATAAGACAGATGATCAGTATCTTACATCAAACACTGGGAGTACATTTTGTTTGATGGTTAAATAAATCTCATGCTATGTGATAATTTGCAATATCCACCCCTCCAGCTAACTTTTTCTTTTTCTTTAAAACTTTACTTCTTAAAAGGGACTTAACCAATACTATTGTTTAGATATGACAAACACAAATAGCTTTGTCATGTTCATCTTCAAAATGTGTTTGTCCAATTTTCTGAAAGCTACATACTTATTGAAACATGTGGATAGGATTAAACTGTTATTTTTGCACTATGAAGATATGATACATGCATTAAAAATTTATCTTAACTTCAATATGATTATTGATCATGTTAATAAGTTACAAAGTTATATTGACATGGCACCCTAAATCAGAACTAGTCAGTGTGAAGTTAATATAATTTTGTAAAGATATGACATTAACAATGCAGGCAATGGCGGGGGAAACCATTTGTCCTGTGCACCAAAGAAATGGGAACGGTTGAATAAATTAAATTATGTTTAAATACTTTTTTTTATAAAACTATCTAACAGGTGATGCCTTTGTTTTACAATGATATTAAATGTTTTTTTCTAATATGTGTTCTACAAAAACTATTCTGGATTTGAAGATTGTGTGGTCCTGCAGCATGTAACGGCCATTTAGAAGGTGTAATACAACACAACATTCTATTTTACTTTGTCATATAAGTAGAATAGCTGGATATCAACAACTGTTGCCTTTCATAAAGGTTTACGACTACAGTATTAAAATCTCTTCATGGCATGAATGTGACCCCGAAGTTGCCAGTTGCCATACAATAAAGAACCTATATTCATTGAACACAAGAAAGAGAAATGTAATACACACTTTTTACCTTCGAGCTGATCATTGTTATGGCGCACAAACAGCCACAATGGCTGTGCACCTTTCAGGCCTAAGTGGCAGTGGGTCTGTTTGTGCAATGTGAACCCTCTATTAGCAATTGCATGATACCTGACACCTATTAAAGCCACATTTCCTCCTTCTTGGACTTTTCCCACTGATAAGTGTTAGTATCAAACACTCAGTACACACTATCAGACTGGTAGTACTTTAAAGTTTCAAAATGTCATTTGCCAGTGACATTAGTTGTACATTTCGTTTCATGAAAAATAGAAGGTTGTCAATTTCATTTTTCTCACCTTAATGAAAAAGAGAAGTGAACCAAGAGACCGACTTCCGCTGAAGGGGGGGTGGTGAGGTAGTGGTACAAGGACTGAGACGATCAGATGCCTCTCACTGTGAGGCTTCCGTCCTATAAAGGCTAGCTGCCCTATCAACAAGCCGATTGTGGCCATGACAACACCCAGTCTACCCAGAAGGCCGTATTTTGTTTGACATACTAACGTCGCGCCTCGGTGAGGGCAAAGTCATCGCTGGGGGTCCCCCAACACAACAGAGTCCCATAATCTCCTGAGTGTATTAGGTCACATGGTGATTGTCTGCTACAGGCCTGTGTACGGTCATGCATGACATCTACATGCTGGTGTTACTCTCACTTGACACTGTTTCTTTCAGAGGAAGGAGAGGGAGATTAGTTCTCCGTCTCTCGCAGTGAGAGAACCCTTGACTGGATCTACGGGTGTTAAATCATACTGACTCAGGAACTGATACTCAATAAAAGTTTCTTTTGTCATCTTTGGCCTCATGTACATGCTGATTGCTGTTATAGATTTGGTTTTGAGTGCTGATGGATTTCATGGTTTTGTGCTGTGTTGTAGAGTGTTGATTTTAACATGTAAATTGGAAGAAGGAAAGTGGAGTTGAAAACTTGAACTACAGGCATGTACTGCATGGAGGGTTAGAATTTGTTTATTTGTTGTTTAACGCCGCTCTCAGCAATATTCCAGCTATATGACAACGGTCTGTAAATAATCTAGTCTGGACCAGAGAATATAAAATACAGTATGACTGACAATATTATTAGCTGTATTATTCGGGCAAAGGCTGTGATACAGTAACAAAATATGTTTAATATGATTATAATATAAAAGCTATATTATCCTAATTATATATTTAAGTTTTCAGAGAATTCTCAACTTCTGTGTTAACATTTTAAGTTATGTTGATAAGAAGTTAGGTTGTAGCTGCAAGGATGTTTATGTTTTAGAGATGGCCATGGAGTATTCATGATGAATGTGTGGTGTATATGTATATAATAGATGTGTCTATGTACTAGCTATACTGGTCTAATACAGATGATATAAACATCAAATGAACAGTTTTTTGCTATTTCTCTATCATGTGTTTAGCAATTTTATTTGTATAGATCTCAGACAGTGTCGTTTAGTAGAATTTTGGAGAATATTGATATATCTGGGGTGGGGGGGGGGGGGGGGGGGGGGAGACCTGTGCAATAAAGCATTTGTGTCCCCCCAAAATATTTGGTTGCTTAATAATTAACAAGATAACGTAAGAGTCATTACAGTGTACTGGTGATACTTCCACATGTTTAAATAGAGGGCAGCCTGTACATGAAGGGCAGTGGGGCAGCTTTCACTCATCACACCGAAGACCCGGGTTCGAATCCCGACATGGTAATGTGTGAAACCCATTTCCTGTGTCCTCCTCATTTATATTGCTGGAATATTGCTAAAAGCGGCGTTAAACCATACTCTCTCACTTTAAATTTATACAGAATGCTAGACCATGACATACATAGGGCATAGGGCAT